TATTAGAGCTTAATTTCTGCAATACAATTAGCAGGTGTATAAACAATGCAGGATAATAAATGTGTTAACAGAACCTTGGTTCTTTGTTTGTGTGCCAATAAATTTTCTCTCCCTCCCCCTTTCCCCGCGTGTACCGCATTTCGCTAGCAGGAAGGTGGTCACCCTAATCTGAACTGGTGCATTACATATGGTCAACGAAGGCATCGGCATCACATCACGTTTTTGTGAGAAACAAACACAAGCAGTTTTCCCGGTGGAGAACTTAAAACCGTTATTGTCAGCACATCTTGTCACATTATTAATAGTTAGTTGAACACGGCGCTCGCAGATTGAAAGGTTACATGAGGAAAAAGTGATTTGGAGGTCATCTACATACAGCAAATAGTGCAACTGATGACGGTATGGCACGCGCGATAGAATTGATTTTTATAACAGAGTAACCCTCAGTACACTACCGTGCAGAACACTGTTTTCCTGTACAAACCATAGTGAGTGTGCAGACCCCAGCCTTACCCGGAAGGCGTGTCTACCTAAATAGCTCTCAATGGCATGGAACATGCAGCCCTGGATACCAACGTCAATCAAGTCACTCAAAATTCCATACCGCCAAGCAGTATCGTATACTTTCTGAAGACCGAAAAACACCAAGAAGCAGCACTGTCTACTCACAAAATCCTCTCCGACAGTCGTCTCCAAGTGAACCAATTGATCCTGTGTCGAACGGAACGAGCGGAAACCGCAGTGGTATTCATTCAGGATGCAACGTTTTTCCAAGTACTGCATCAATCGTCTATTAATAATTTTTTCAAGGGTTTTACAATAACAGCTCGTCAATGCTATGGGCCTGAAACTAGTAGCAGCCTCCGAGTTCTTTCCTGGTTTAAGCAGAGGGATGATTGTAGCCGTTCTCCATGCTGATGGAAAACGTTCCCCCTCTCATATTCTGTTGAAGAGATGTAAAACCAGATCGAGTGTACACAGGGGCAGATGATTCAACATGAAGTAGTGGATACTGTCAGGCAGGTGCATTTATGGTCCTGGCTTCTTTCTGCTGTTTTAGACAAAGACATAATGGTGAATAGTGCCTCGAACTTGAAGCAAACTCGAAATGTTCCCCGAGAATATCAGCTTGTTCCTTTAGACTTTCTGGACAGGTTCCATTGCAGGATAGCAGGGGAATGGTGAAAGCACAACAGGATCCATTGATTTTTTTAATTCAATCCTAAACCTCTTCTGGGGATATGTGGCTATTTATTAATGTCGCAAGCCCTTGAAAACTTGTTTTTTTCGATTGCCGGTGAATGTACTGTCCCTGGGCCTTCACTTGCTTAAAATGAAGAAGGTGCTTGATGTTGGATATCGTCGAAATGTGCTCCATGCCTTGTCCTGTTCTTTTCGTGATTACAAATGTTCTTTATTCCACCAAGGCTTGGGACAGCGTGGGAGTTCCCCCGAGGTTATGGGGATTGCCATTATGGCTGCCTGAAGGATGTGGTTCATTAATTGTTCGTTCACTTCATCAATTGAAAGCTTGCCAAGAGATGTGCATGCAAGCAGTGAAAACTGGCTGATATCTGACCGGTTTGCATTCTCGAATTTCCAGCGGGGAGTTTGGGTGGGGAGGGTCACACCTGCATTAGTCCGTCTTAAAACAATCGGCAGGTGGTCACTGCCCAAAGGATTATCTGTAACCTGCCATGAGAACGGTCAAAATAAAATTGGTTCACTTATAGAGAGGTCAACTGATGTAAACGAGTTTGTGGGTGCACTAAAATATGGAGGTTTCTTTTTGTTAAACAGACACAAATTTGTAGACAAAATAAACCGTTCGATGATTGCTTATCGCACCTAGCACTGCACAATAAAGGATTCTGTGCATTAAAATCACCAAGAATAGTGAATGGATGGGGGAGTTGAGCAATGAGTGACTCAAGATCTTCATACCCTAAATGGAAGTTTGGAGGAATGTACAGCAGCAGTTCCCGAAGAGGCTCGACGACTTCTGCGTAACGAGGAATAAGCTGCGCATAGTAGCCAACCATGCTGAGAAATGCCTGCAGTGTAGCAAGGTATGTGGGTGCTGACGCAGCCTGGATTGCATCCATGTTGCTCTGCAGTGGCCAAACTCCCTTGCTGCTAACTGCGTGTCCAAGGAAGGACAGTTCTTGTGCAGCCAAAACGAAATTATTGTTAAGTATAAAGCCAGCCCTCTAGATGCAGTCCAGCACCTGCATCAGGCTCTCATCATGTTCTTCAAGGTTGCTGCCAAGGACAATAATGTTGTCGATGTAGAACAAGGCATTCTTGCAGCTTTCAAGATCGTAACCATCATCATCTGAAAGGCCGAAGGCGCAGAAGCAAGTCCAAACCAGACTTATTTGAATCTGTACAGGCCTTCCTCTTTAATGAAAGTTGTCAAGTCTCTGCTTTCTGGGCTGAGAAGAACCTGATGGTATGCAGCTGCCAAGTCTATCTTCGAAAAGTACTGTGCACCATGGAGTTTGTGCAATAGCTCCTCGGTGTGTGGCAGAGGAAACTTGGCTACCACCACTGCCTCATTTGACTCTTGAAGATCGACACATAGTCTTATGTTCCCATCTTTCATTTTCACGACAACGATGGGGGACACCCTTCGGAGCTATCCACCTTTTCGATGACGTCTTCATGTTCGAGACGCTTCAATTCTTCCGAGACTTGGTCCCTCACAGTGAATGGCAGTCGGCACAACCTGGCAGCAATAGGTTTGATGCCTTCACATACTCCTAGTTTGTGAACAAAGTTTTTGGCGAGGCCCAATTTGCCGCCAAACAAACGTAAAACCGGCAATACAAGTCAGGCAAGAGTCCTTCTGGCGTTTGGCTAGTATGAAAGCAGCGCGGAGAGGTACCGTTGATTTGCAGACTCAAGGAGATGACAGCATCTATTCCCAAGAAGTCCAAACATTCGGGAACCACGAAAAGGTATGTCATCACAGCGGTCCTGGAACAAAACAGGAGCAACGAAGTAACTCTCGACGGTGATCTCGTGGTCTGAGAAGTCGAATAGCGCCGCCGACGTTGATTGCAGCGGAGTGGAGCGCTTGTGCTTGGAGTAAGTTGAAGAAGATAGGATTGAAACGGCGTACCCCACTCTAGCGTCGATGTGCACGCCCGTAGTGTGCTCCCCGGCGAGGCACAAAATGCTCAGCAGTTTGGACGTATCATCGCACTCGACTCCTCAAATGGGGACGGCTCATTTCGCCGACTTCTCGCTTTGGCAGACTCGTTGGAAATGGCCAACCTTGCCGCATTTGCTGAAGTTCTTGTTCTTGGCTTTGCAGCTCGGAGAATTAGCGATATGCTGTGAAGACCCACATCAAAAACGATGCTTGGAGTTCGGCGGTGACGAACCCAGTTTGGTCTGTTTTGACGGTCCCGTCTCTCGATGCTTGTCTACTCTCCCGACGTTCGCACACGTGGAAGACGATGACTGTTCTTTTGAATACCAAGCAGCTTCCTCGAGGCTTCTTGCAATGTAGAGTGCACGCCCCAGCGTGGGCGTCGAACCTTCGAAAAGGAGTCGCGCGCATAGAAGGTTGGTGGTCCTTTTCGCCACGATGTGGTCTTGGATGAAGTCATCCAATTTAGGATGAAGCCGTCCAATTTAGGATTAAAGTTGCACGTCGACGAGAGGTCTCGCAGTGCCGTGACATACGAGTCTACAATCTCGCCTAGGAGTTGAGCACGCCGCCCAAAACAATGCCGCTCCACGATGACACTCGTACTTGAAACGAAGGAGGCGTCGAGTGCAGCAAAAGCTGCGTCGTATTCGTTGAAGGTAGGCGTACCTCTGTCAGATGTTGCAGGGGGTGTCGGCAGCTGTTTTTCGGACAGGGTGTAGAATATTCGCTGGCCTTCCACTCCCAAGCAGTAAAAAAGAAGCGCCTTACGACGCGCAGGCGGGTGGCTGTCATTCCCCGAAGAAAGTAGAAAGTTTCAGAATAGCCGGTGCCATTGATTCCACGGAATGGCGCGCTCACCGGGCGTCGGCAGGAACGGTGGCGGTTGCTGAACGTCCATGGCTCAGTAGGATGTAAATTTAAGCCTCGTCGCCAACTGTTGCGTCCTGCGACGTGACCTACGTTCCCAGGCCACGACAGAAGCAGACCGTACGCTCGTACCGAAAAGAATGTCTTTAACCTCGAAGTTACATGATTTATATACAGGACGCAGGTGGCCATACCTGTGGCACCATCTCTTATGATGAATGACAACTTAAAATACCGACAGACGCTCTAGGGGCACGGTCAGAAAAGAGTTAAAGCGCAGGGTGGGACGAACTCCAAACTTCACGTGAAGTGAAACTAGCACAACTGGGAAACCGAGCCACCGAGCACGGCAGAAAGGCATCTGTGCACCTGAGAAAGTAAGAAAGTGAAAGGAATATAAACAGGCAGTTGCAAAAGCCTCCATCCATTAAGAGACCAGTTCAAGGTGATATCCGCCCGGTCAAGAACAGGCCAGCACGGCGCAGACAGGCAGGCAAAGAGGAGAAAACAAATGGGAGCGGAGCACAACGAAGAGGGTGACCCAATACATTGCTTTCGGCCATGTCGAATGGCAGTTTCTAGACGTGACAGCCAGGAAGGCAAATGCAACAAACGGGAAATTAACGCGGATATTCCTGTGGGCGTTCGACAGAACTGGTGTTTGCGAGCGCAACAGCCGGGAAAACGTATGGGCCGAGGACGTATCGCCGAGGTTCTACGAGAGCGTCTGATATTCCTGGAACATTAGGCCACACGTATCATGCCCAGCAAGGACAACAAAATGCATAGGACAATTAGGCACTTAGAACTCTTTGACAAACAGTCACACACCCAACAGTTCTGAGACTGTGAGGCACTGTTTCACGGAGTCCGAACAGAGCGTGAGACCACATTCGGCGAGATTGCGTAGTCTGCAGACCATGCCAGGCACGACTGTCGAGTGAACGCCGTCTGGTCTATGGCAGTCACTCACCCAATGGATGGCTATCCGACAGCAGTTCCACGTCTCCCAGCTGAATCACAGTGACTAGGTGCTCCAGTCGGTAGCCCAAACGTCTCAAGGAGCACAGGTAGCCAGGCCAGAACCTAGGAAGGCATTCCATTCACAAAGAGACGCAACCTCATACATTATCGCCGACACATCTACAACAAACTCGAGTAGTAACAGACGTATATGCAGACATGACTGGGGTCAAGAGGTTTGTGACATGTCATCTCAACAAAAACACTTTACTACTAAGTTCGGTTTTACCATAAGTGTAAATAAATGAAGCTGGAGCTACAAACTAGAGCATGTTGCCTTAAATGAGGCCTTCAATGCACAAGCGCATGTGCACAGCGTGCACAATCAAAGCAAGATACTCTCCCCATAAAAATGGTGGCCAACTCATATAAAAATTCAAGGGTTTGTGGTTTACTATATGGACTGGTAAATGCAGGTAAATATATTTGGTAAATATTGGTTCGACAGCTTCAGAAGAAAACGGACAGTAAAAATTGACTTTATATGTTTAAAATTTTCGGAACTATTTTTTTTTGCAAGTAGATTCTGTCGGGTTTACATGAAGTACGCATCATTCTCGGCAAAAATGCAATTAAAAAAGCTGGACCACACACAGGGGAGTACATTGTTGATCGTCTAAGAGTGTTTCGCTTAGTGCTAGTCACAATTTTCTTGCTCAAACTACGCATTTTGCAGAAAAAAGATAGATGTCATAATTGGTCACGATTAATTGGCCTATCTAAAGATATGTATAGCGTCAGGGGTAATCATGGATGCTTAATTAATTTAAAATAATAATCTTTCTTATGTGTAAACATACGAGTGCATGGCTTTAATTGAAAAGTAGCTGAACCTCATTGGGAACAATGAAATAAGCCATTTCTAGTAAGATTTATGGTGTGTGCAGCATTTTATCATGTTCAAAAACACCCCAATCTGAATACACCACCCAGGATTCAGTTTCCTATCAGCCACGTCATCGTGCCAAAGGGCGATTGATGCTAAGCTTTTCATGACAAATGCTAGCAAAGAAAAAACCGAGAAAAACTGTATGATTACTAGGGTGCAGATAAACAAGGCATCCGCAATATCGAAGCTCCCCACAGAAAGTAAGCGAAAAACAGTACTATATCTTTTGGACTAGTCTGCAGGGGCAAATTTCAGTTTAAAACAAAATGGTTGTCCCTGAATAATCTACACTTGGTGTTTTGTCAACACCTAGTGCAGACTACACACAAATCATCATTAATACTCCATCATACTAATAATTCGTCAGTCTCGTCATTATGAACAACCTAAAAAACATCAAATCTTTATATAGCCCGCACCTGTAGATAGTCCGCACCGCATAAGCCAAAACTTTTAAGCTTGTATAGCCAGTGGACTAGTGCAGTCTGGGCAACATGGCACTGAGTTGGCACATAAAGAGATGTTGACTTGTCTATTCCCCACACTCACCCATGCAGCTGACAGAGCTCCATGCTCCTGACTGAGATCCATTCCTCGAAGCAAAGGACAGCTTTTAGCTGCTCCATCATCGGCCAGTTGATCTTGTGGGAGTTCATTCTGAAAGTCAGATGTGCCGAGGCCTTTGCTGCTTGAAGGGCTGCTTCCACATCACAAACCCACAACCACAGCAAAACCTCACTGACATGTCCTTCAATGGCCCAAGGCAGAAAAACATACTAACGTACACGAAACTGCAACAACAAATAAATACTTATTTAGGTGCAACGACTATTTGATTCAAAACAGCCATCACACTGCAAAGTCTGTATGGGTTTGGGATGTTAAAGGAATACTACAACGAAATTTCGGCGCTTTTTTTTTTGGTCTTTACGTGTTCAAAGAAGCAGTATCACATCGGACACACCAATATCCTGTTACAAAAGACGCGAAAAGGAATTTTAAAACGAATTAAACGATTAGGAAAGAGCACCTGGTGGATGTCACTAAAGCCTCATTTGTAATGCCTGTCTAGGAACCTTGACAGGTAGTGACGATAACTGTTTCGACTAGAACTAGTATACATGCTTTGAACCTGACGTCATCCTGACAGCTCTACAGCCAGCACAAGAGAAGAGGAGAGGAAGGAACTTCCCCACTCAACGGGACTCTCTTTTGTATGTCCCAGGCATTGCTATTCTCCCTCTAAAAGATTATAGAAGATTAACCCGTCACTCCCAAATCCCACAAAAGCAGATTTGGGGTTAGTTGCGGTGGTCCAATCGCCGGCATGCTTTGACTGCTTCGGTGGCTCGAATGACAGGGCATCCAGACGATGCCAGCCTCGCCACAGCTTTGCTCATCCCGAGACAGACTACATCACGATCGTGCCGGATGTGACATGCTCTCCGCTGGCTGCTCTCCAAGCGCTTGCCAGAGTGGGCCGTTTCTAATGTTAAATACAGCCACCAGGCTCAAAATACAAATGTGCGATTGTCATTTACAGATACTGTGGATCATATTCAGCCAATTTCTGAACACGACGGGAATATTTCAAATTTCGTTGCAGTATCCTTTTAGAAGGACATTAACACCACCCCAAAAAAATGTTTCTATTTTTTGTCACGTTATCCATTATAGTGTCAGAAAACTACCCCATCAGTATTTTGCTACAATGTCACATATATTTTTAATAGAGTAAAAAAATGCAACAGCTTGAAACCGAAACTGAACTGGGGAGGAAGAAGAAATATAGAGGAGAAAGTTACCGGAAGTCACACGGCTGTGCAACATATTTATTTCTTTCAATCAACGTATCTGCAGATTTTTACGAGCCACAAAAAATGGGTATAATATTTTTTGTCTATTTTTAGCATTGAGTGCGTGCCCTCGATGACCCACGACCTTGATTATCTTTGGTGTTGTATCTAAACCATAAAAAAATGGCACGTCGCCACAGAGAAGAGAGTGAGCGCGACTCAAACCGGCCAGTTTTCGGGTGGAAAGAAAACGAATTACGAGTCGCAAATTGTGTTCTGGGTAGTTGGGCTCTCATATGACATGTACAAATAAAAAACCTTGGTGAGCAGGTATACCCTGTCAGTGTCCTTTTAAGATGAAAGAGCATACCAAAGAGACAGATGAAATGAATGCAGTTTTATCCTTCAAATTGGCTGACAGCTTGCACCACCTAGAAAGTGTGTTTCTAGTTTTATAGACTAAATAATCTCTGGGTATGTCCTTCAATATACATAGTTTGTACTGTGTCATACTATTACCTTATTAATTAAGCCTTTAAAATATTGTTGGGAGAGCAATGAAAAGCTTCATACTGCCCTTCTGAACAGTCGGCACAGTTCTCGTCATGAAAACTGTTTCGATGTACTATAGTTCGGCGCAAAATTCAAGCAAATATTAAGTTGAAGCTTGTGCCCTGGGGACCAGTCATGAGAATGTGGTATTATAGAATGTGTTGAGAATGTATTAAGATAATTTGTGAAGGAAATGTGTCAAGAAAATGTGTCACGAGAATGTGTCATGATGTATAGTACCTCGATAATGCGTCATGAGAATGTGCAAAAAAAATGTCAAGAAAATGGGTCACGGGATTCTGAGGATACCGCCCTGCCACAGAATGAGAAGCGGAAGGTTCCCATTCCATACCTTGGTGCTCCACACGAGCATTTGAGGCACTGAGAGTCGCATGATCGCAGAGAATGCTGCAGCCATTCCCACCGAACTTCTTCATTCTTCAGGTACTTCCTCACGGAAGACAACCTGCAACCAGTAACAGTAAGTTCACAGCACGTCAGAAGAACCAGTCACACTCAATCAACACGACTTCACTGCTCTACTCAATCATGTGTGGATGTAGACGCTTTGCTACAGCTGTGCATGGGCTCTGCCATAACCGACCTTCATTTTTTGTTTCCTCTTATTCTGTTCGCTTCACTTCATCGTTGCCACAGTAAGACAGGTTATTGCTACTCTAGGCGCTACTGTGTCTTTCTCCCCAGCATAGGCTTTTGTGGAGGCTCAATAACGCTCACTTCAATGGCTCAGCATCTAGCTAAGACAAGAGAATGTCGGCAATGGCAACTCAATCTGGCATGTGAATAAAGCGTCTATAAAGAGCAAGGAAACGAAGATTCACAGCAAGAGGTGGCAAAACAAATAATGCAATAAAAAAAAGTACAGTATAGACCACTTACAACGTAACCGCTTATAGTGCAGGACCGGGTATAACGCGGCTTTTTTAAACCACCGGTTTGCCTCCCATAGAACTCCATGTAATTACATACTGCTTAAAATGCAGGCGCGCAAAGGGAAATACCGGTTATAGTGCGGTTTCTGGAACAGCCCGCCGACCGCGCCAACCGACCAGTGCAGCGAGCACGCTTCCCTGTGTGACACTAGATAACGGCGCTAACTGCAAGCGGCACTCACGGGGGCAAGGATGGCATGGAGGTTGTTCGAAGAAGCGGGGAGAAGTGAAGAGAGAGGCTTCAGTTGCCATAGTGACGGAAGGACGCACGAAAAGAAGTGTTCGCGCGCGTTGCATGCCGGTCGCGGGCTGGCTTCGTCTATCCGCAAACATGGCATTGGTGGTGATCGTCGACGTAGACGGCGTAGTGGAAGCTCATCGTTCCGCGTAAAAGCGCTATCCTTGACTGTGAATTTTCGTTGTGTGTCGTTATGATAACCCAGCACATACTAAAAGGGAAGATCCATCTACTCATGCGGCTATCTCGTGGTGGCACTCTCAAGACAGCAGAAACGCCCGTGCCGTCGTGTTTGTTTACTTCGACTGCAGTGGTGCTTTCTAAGCATTTGTGTTTTCAAACACCGCCCGGATTTCTTATTTCGAGCATTCCATGCAAATAAGGCATTTCATGCCTTATTTGGAGCATTTCATGCGCGTACCGTATAAAGCATGCGAATTTTCACGCGTTTTCATCGCCGGAGAAACGTGATTAGGGTTAGCAATCCTGAACGCTCGCAACGTCCGTCCGCAACCCGCGACGCCGTTAAAAGGCTGTGCCAGGCAAAAGTCACTTATTTCTTTCAAAATGTGTGACACACTTGAGAGAGAAGTGTACTAGTCTGGTGAAATAAAGACTTTCCTCAAACTAAGCTTTATTTTTCATCTAATATAAAATAAATTGTTTTACAAAGGTAAGTTGTCTCACGGCATGTATTTTGGTCTGAAAAATTGATGTTGTGGTTACAGCGCGATACCGCTTATAGTGCGGATTTTCGTGACTCCCGCGACATACATTATATGCGGTCTACACAAGGCTGGCCTTGAGATTCGCTTCTTCCTGACTAGCCTTCTCTAGAATCAGCAATATAATAGTTCAATACATAAGGTTGGAAAATTAGAGATTGAATGCGTGAAAATCGATAGAAATCAAGTGAAATCGGACAAAGTGTTGCCTTTGTAAAAGGGGCTTAAATTTGCTAACCCCTTGGTGAATGCAGGTTGGCAGCTAAAGTAAAACATCTTTAGATGACGTTTAAAATTCTGAGGAATGTTGGATGCCACACAGAGGCTTCGAGCGGGCTTCTTTCAGAGTTCTTCAACCAAGCTTCTGCTAATTTCGTGCCTCGTTTGGTTTCTAATACTAAACCCATAACATCCCAAGGCAAGTTTTAGTAAAACCTTATGTAACAGCCAGAGCAAATCATCCAAACAGAATCAGTGTCTGTTTTTGTCATTCCAATGGTTTCACATTTCTAATCTTTTTTCTTAGAGGCACTGAGCCTGCAAGAAGGGAATGAGAACCTAAACTTTTTTGTCTTTATGAGCAAGGCCTGTGGAACAAGGCCTGTGAGTCTCTTTTTCCACAGAGATTGCGTTCAGCATATCATCACGACCCACAGAACCACCCCAACGAATGAAGCAACAGTGAAGATGTTTCCACACAAACACTCAGGGTGCAACAGTTAGTGTTGTGGCAGATTACAATCTCTAATCTGGTACGGAAAATTTCCGTGGGCCTCATCGCTTGTTAGGCCCCCTCATAGTAAAGGCCAAATAGATCTAACCATCTTTAAAAAAAGTGTCAAAGATCAATTTTGCACGCTCCGAAGTTCCAATTTACCACGAAAATATGACAAGGTGGTGCATTTGTTTTGTAAAAATATTGAAGTACAAAATTTTCTTATGCCTCAGTTTGGAACCTAAAAGGTGTCCTTGTGGGCCATTGGGGTCATTTCTTAAACAAAACAGGGCATGAGAGAAAAGTCCAAATGATCATAATCTAAACCCTGAGACAAGAAGAAATAAAGTAACAGACAAGATGACACAAAATCTCAAACACAGCTGAGTTTATTATTAGTGAGGGAACAACAATTTATAGCCGTCCACACAGACAAAAAAGAGGGAATACAAAAAGACGTGCCGCCGCAAAGATGCAGAATTAAGCCAGACTGACTGACCTCCACCCAGACACCACACCAGCAGCAGACACCCGCTGCCAAGCTAGCCAACAAGATAATCCCCGTCAACGCAACGTGAACCAAGCTAAAGACCACACACTCTCTCCCCCCCCTCCCCGATCACCCACACCTCGACAACAACAAAAGCCCACAACAGAAGGAACCTTCTCACATATTACTTCAAAACTAGTAAAGACTGCTAGCTCACACAATTTTCATGGTCCTCTATACTAAAGGTTTCCTTTAAGATTCTCTTGAAAGAATCGCTGTCTTGCCACAAGATTGAAGTCTCTTCCCATAATGGTGAACACGCATGTCATTCAGCAATACGTTTGGCTAGTTCAGATGATGGATATGTGTAAATGACCGTCTCTCTTTGAACACGAGAGAAGTGTGAAAAATGTTTCTCCATCACTTGAACTAGCCAAACGTATATTGCTGAATGTAATGCGTGTTTGCCCTTAGGACAAAATACTTCAATCTTGTGCAAAGAAGGCGATTCTTTCGAGAGAATCTTAAAAAAACCTTTGAGTATAGGGGACCACGGAAATTGTGTGAGCCAGCCGTTTATAGTTTTGAACGAACACATTATAAAGTTCCTTCTGTCGTGAGTTTTTGTTGTTTTTGTTATGGAGGGGTGAGTGATTGGAGGAGGGGAGTCTTTCGCTCGGTTCACATAGCCTTGACGGGTAGCTTCTCGGCAGGTGTCTGTTGCTGGTGTTTTGTCTGTTTGGAGGTCAGTCAGTCTGGCTCAGCAATGCCAACTTTGTGCCGGCATGTCTTTATGTCTTCCCTCTTTTTTGTGCAGACAACTACAAACTGTTGTTTCCTCGCAAATAAACTCAGCTACAATTGAGATTTTGTGTCCTTTGTCCGTTATTTTATTTCTCCTCATCTCAGGGTTTAGATTATGATGTTTAGTAAAATCTTATGCAACAGCTCACCTGCATACTTTTGCTCCTTGCAAATTAATATAATCACAATCTGTTTTGTTTTCGTTAAAACGTCCCAACAGCCCACAACATTTTTCACATTGGAACAAAAAGGGCTTAACTCTATGTTGGTCTGTAGAAAAATGACGGTTTTTATATTGCAACTTTTGAATGAGGCAAGTTCACTCTTTGATATTTTCACAAAACAAACACAGCACCTTGTTGCTCATGGTAAATTGCAGTGCTGAAGGACGCAAAACCGATTATTGCAATTTATATAAGGCGGGTTACATCAATCAGGCTTACCTCATAAATTAAAAAAAAGAAAAAGATGCAAACCTCGACAGCTTAATTTTTTTTATTTATTTATTTATTGATATTTAATTTATTCATCATTTTCAACAAAAACCTGCTGCTGTTGCCAGCACTTTTGCTTTCAAATAAAAACACTGACCTGCCCACACCACCTGCGCAAGTAGCTTGGAGGCTCTAACATACGACTACCACCTCACCAACCCAAGTTCGAGCCACGCCGGGGGCTTCAACTTTATGTATAAACTTTTTATACAGACAGGGCCGTGGAGACAAATCCTGACTTTTTCCAGATTTCGTCTGGCAACAATACAGTGAAGCTAACCGGCCATATTGCGCTTCTGCGGCCACATTATTTGACAGCGGACCATCGCATAATGAATAACTCTCTGCCCTCGCAGTATTGCTGCGGATGGCAGCCATACTTGATTCGCTTCGCGCCAGAAAATTGCCTAAGCAAATCATTGTGTGCTTTGACTACAAGAATATGCAAGTTTACGGAAGACGTTACAGCAAACCGAGCAAAGAACGAAAAACGGTCGAATCGCAAAAAGAAACAAAGAATTCGTTTGCGAACTGAAGCGAAACATCGAGAAGGATCCTGGGCGCAGTACGAACGACCTCGCCAATGGAATGGGAGTGGTGAGGTGAACAACAAGTTTGGCGGTGCATGAAGACCCACATTTCTTTCTTTGCCTCCGTGTGTTTCCCAGAATATGGTGAATTTTCCGGAGTTATCTCGACGACCCTACATAACCTTAAATGTGTGCAACGCTCCCAGCGCGTCACTCCTTCGTGGCGCCCACCACGACGCTCATTATGATGCTCGTTATAACGATTTTCTCACAGAAAACGCCGCATGAAAGACATTCCGCGTTAAAAAGCAGGATCACGGCGCATTTGCCGCACACAACAGGTTTCGCCGGTTATAGCAAATGCAGAAAGACGACGAGTGCCGTGATGATCCATTCTTGGTGCTGCTCAGCTGCGGCTGGACCAAAGACCGATTCGCACACTTGCGACAGGTACTTAGGACCGCAAGCCCTAAAACCTCTTACAACGAGAGAACACGCTGGAGCCACCTGTCAGGTGGCCCTGATACAACACCATTTCCGTATATTTCCTTTTTCTTCGCGCATTTCTTTTTTTTTTTTTTTGGCTCGAAAATTTGTTGGCAGTGTTAAAAAACAATTGTTTTTCATGGACAGTATGTACACTTGATCTTGCAAACACTGTGAAACCTTCGCTCTAGCGAAATGCAGTTCCAGAGTCACCTTATAGATGGCGCCAGACGTGCTCTCTCGTCGCAAGCGATCGCGAGAACTCGGTCGTCGGCAGACGCAAGCGTGTGAACGGGGCGGGTGAAACGGGGTGTAACGAATTCAAACGGAACGCTCGAGTCCGGTGGGCGAGGGCTCACGTTTGGGGCGGTGAAAAGGATGTCAGGGCCACCCGGACCGCCTTGAGGAAGAGGGACGGGTGGGTGTCAAAGTAGCGGGTCAGGTAGAGTACGTCCCTGGCCGTGAGGCAGCCCGCCTTCTTCAGGAACACCTCGTCCACCCTGTCCGGAGCCACTTCGTGGAGGCTGGGGATGGGCGCAGACGCAAACAACCGCATCTCTAAATGCCACTCTTTGTAAAAGAAGTTTTCTACGGCTAAACCCCTTTACTACGGCGTGCTACGAAATGCTGGCCAAAATGTCTGAGCAAAAACTAGAGTCACTGCCAGAGTGCCACCACACTTCTCTCTAAATCACCTCTCACTACCGTCAGTCAGGTTGTTGCAGTGGAGATGGGCCGAGGGGGCTCGGCTTCTGCGGCAACCGATAGTAAAATAGGTAGTGGGTAATATTCATGATATGTGGAGGTAATCCACCCAACAAACTTCTCAACGTGCTAATTAAAAAATTTTTTTTTTTACATTTGTACAGTAAAACCTTGTTATAACAAAATGGGATATAACAAACTAATGGATATAACAAAGCAATCATAATTCCCCTTGCTTACTAATAGTGGGAAGAAATGGACATTGGCTATAACAAACTAATGGTTATAACGAAATAATTACGACCGCTCCTTCAACTTTGTTATAACGAGGTTTTACTGTAGTTACTTGTAAGAAACACATACTTCTTAGCACAAAGAAAGAGACTTGTTTCTTAACTCATACTTCAAAGTCTCAGAGAAGCAGCCGCAAACACTACGAAAACCCCAATTGTCTAGCTCGCCACTCAAATTGACGAAACCAAGGGAACAAGATTTCTAACTATAGGCTAACTTTTAGAACATATTGAACGACAAAAATTTAGCAGAAAATGAATGGGTCATCTTTCGGATTGTTATGACGCATAATCCACAAACCTCCGGAAGACAAAATTGAATGAAAAAAATTGTGCGATATGTCGCCGACTCAAATATCCACAATCAAATCGGCCACCCAAGAAAAGCGGGGTATTCGGAAAGCAATCTGGTAGGGATTGCTGAAAGCCTCGTGTCAAAATGAAAAAGAGACAAATCGAATGTTCTGCCAAAGAAACGACAGAAAGTGGTGGTATTACCCCATGTTCACAGATTGCCGCATGACCTCGATAAGATTGCTGGCCATTTTGGCATTGCCAGGGTATTCCCAGCACCATTGAAGCTAGTACCTAGCTTATGCCCAAGAGTAAACAAGAGCATGCACGAGGAGAGCACGTACACAAAAAATAACATGCACACAAATATGTAGAATGCGCCACCTCGGTAGCCTACGACACATAGATGCATTAATGAAAGGATGCAAGAGCATGAACATTATGTAATGTAACATGTAATGTAACATTATGTACTGGATGGCATAGTTCCCCTTCAAAGAACTATGTCGTCCAGTGCAAAAGGTGCCCGCGTGATCTCGTACTAGTTGAATCATAGATTTTGGTCAAGTATAAAAATAAAACAGAAAGAGGAATTTTTGAAACATTTAAAATCGGAGGATGGGTGCAGCAGTGTGTCGTCACTCATTATGTAAGGTAAGGAATTCAGATTTATTTCGCGTAAGGTATAATCGAGTGTGTGTATACATTTGTGCTTCCCAAATAAAACTCGGTACTCGGTAGTGCTCCGTGCGTCCATTCTTACTTCCGAGTCTTGTATTTTTGTCACTTTTACGTAGAAACACAAGGCCTTTGCCGTACTCACAGCGCGAGGTAGCCAATCAGGGGCCCCAACTGGGCCCCGGCCTTCTCGACCTGCTGCAGCACCCAGATCCAGTCCTGGTTCCCGCTCTCCCAGAGCAGCCTCCTCCGCGCCTGCAGGCAGCACCCGGACGCCAGCGCGCTCCACGACTCGAAGCACGGATCTTCTGACATCCGGACTGCATCCCAGGCCACGTCGACTTCCAGGAGGTGGAAGTAGCAACGAATGAAAAGTGCCACCTTCGTGTCGGAAGGATTGCACCTTGGTGCCTCCTTCTTCCGCGGCGTCTGGAGGACCATCGGCATCCAGGACATTGAAGTCACCTCACTCTGCGAGGCCTGACTAGGGGACAGCTCCGCTCCCTGGCTCGCGGCGTCTGCGAGGCATGCCCTTAACAACTCGTCGTGGTCCGCGCAGCCATTGACGCTCGTAGATTCGGAGTTGTCGCGATCTGCGAGCTCACGTTCCTTCGGCACGATCGCTCTGTCCCGCCCATCCACACTCTCGACGAGTCGTTTGTCGTGGTTGGGTTCTTCCGGTTCGCCGGCTCCATTGCTTCTAGCTTCGTCGTTCTGGACGAGAGCGGCCTGCCTCTTGGGCAAAATCTCGGCGGGTCCGTCGTCCAACCGCAGGTCCAGGTTGATGGAGTGGGCGCCGTACGACGACGACATGCTCTGGAACATGGCCGACTCACTCGCCGAGTCGATCGTCTGCATGTCCGACAGGTGGAAGCCGCCGTGCTTCTCCGACGTCGAGGACCGCATGGAGAGGCTGAGGTCGCAGCGCGTCGAGGCGTCCTCGCTGCCTGGCGAAGCCGAGCTCTCCCGCCGCGAGAGCTTCGAGTCCGTCGTTCCGTCGAGAGCAGATGATGGCGACTTCTCCTGGTTCTCCAGGTCAGCCATCTTGGACGCCACCCTCTGCACGTCACCCAGGACCGCCGTCTGCAGGCAGAGCATGGCGAGCTCGCGCGCCTTGAACTTGACATCGGGCGGGAGGCGGAAGGGGTCGCAGATGAAAACGGATTTGAGCAAACGGAGTCGCCACTCTGTAGGGGAGGAGGGTGAGGCACCCGGAGACCTCTCCTGGGCGTCGCGGGGAGCAGACGGAAGCTCGGAGGCGTCGATGGAAGCGACGTGGGACACGACTTGGAGCTGGCTGGAGTGGAGGACCTCCACCCAGTTCTCGAGCACTTTGGAGAGTTTGGTCTCGTAGTAGAACACGTTGGGGTCGCTCACGCACAGGCTGGAAGCGAAGGGTTAAAGCTTAAACAAGATTTGCACGTTGTCCGGAAGCATGGTTGTGGCAGTAGAAGTGTATTTGCACGTTTGCATCTCAGCATAATCGAGTGCGCCACGCTTGCCTGTGACTTCTTGCAACCAGAGAACACAATGGCGCCATCTATAAGGTGGCCCCCACACATTGCCAATCTGCGTACAAGGTTTCGCCGTAGTATGTGCAGAGCTGAAATCTACAGTCTTTGAGAAATGGTCGCTCATAATATTACCAGATTTACTTCGAAACCCTGCCAAAAGAATGATGCATATAAAAAAAAGAAAGAGCAGTCCTGTGGTAGTCTATGGTACAATCGTGGCGAAGTCGTTGGCTCAATTGGCTTCGTTCTCAAGAGCACGCACCTCTGCAGATATCTTTGCGACGAACAACAGGACACGTCGGCGTCGACACTGACGTGTCTTTTGGTGTTGGGCAGCGGCTCGCGTTAAGTAGTCAGCGCTGTTAATTTCGACAATTAACTCTGATTAATTTTGGAATTAATTAAGAATGAAGAAGAATGTTCTATTGCGATGTTGCGGCAACCGTGGCCACCTAGCTGGCATCGCTCGAGACTCATACTCGCGTTCGTTCCGCAAAAACTGTATAATAAAGCAGATCGTCGATGCTGCGGCGTAGCTCCGTGGCAACGCGTCCGCTTTGCAGGCGGGCGACCCGGGTTCGATTCGCGAGAGCAGTAGGCAATCTTTTTAGAAGCAGTTGACAACATTGTGACGGACGCCGTGTGCCCTATTACGCCAATTAAAACGTCAACAACATTAACAACTACCACGACGACAGCGGACGTCATTTCGCGTGGTGTGAATAGCCCTAACAGCCTTCGCCGTAAGAAGGGGGCGGACGTTAGACGAGGAAATGATTGTCGTGCTAAGTCGACTAATTAACTAAAACTTGTAAATGGACATTATTATCGTTGGTTTTAGAGGTCATGTTGGAATTGCAGTGTTAACAGTAATCATTATTGGATGCTGGACCAGCTTAAAGAATTTGCAAAACGGTAACGGTTTTTGAAATATTAGTAATAAATCAAAGTTTGCTATTTATCGCCAGATTTAAAAAAAATTTTCACAAAAGTAGTGCATCAAGTCCCACCCACAACGACGCTTGGAAGAGTGATCTAGTCATCCGGGTCATGCGGTCACTCGTGTCGTCGGCGTACCCACCAAGGACGCGCTGTCGAAATAGTAGAATCTGGTTGAAACGACGACGTCACTCTTTCGGGAGTCATTGTAGGTTAGGGCTTGCGACAAAGCAACTCTTTCATTACAAGAGTTTCCCATCATGACTTTGATTCATTCCTTGCCAGAGGGAGGTAAATTCGTAAATGCTAGATTAAATGCCAACAATCGCCGAAACTCCTAAGGAATGACTTTCACGTTGGACCACTCCCTCCACAAGCGTAACGCGGCTTCTAACTCTAAACCGGGGATCTTCAGCTCAGAAATGTTTAAAGGGATACTGAACCAAAATTTGGAGTTCACAAAACAAAACAAGGCTGGAGAGATAGGCGGGATGCTACAAAAACCCCAAAACATCACTCATACAGCGATATCTCTAATGAATGGTCGTATTTTTAGAAAATAAATGCACAACCGAACACGCCCGGAAAGGCTGACAAAACATGGCACGTGATGATTCTCATTCCCTCTCCTCTTCGCTTCGTCCCCTCGAGCTGGTGAACCGAAGTGAGGAGGAGAGAAGCGAGACCGCTTCCACTCATTCTCAACCGTTCCAGGAGGATCGTTAGGAAAAAGTCTTCGCTTGATTGCGCCCTTCTTTTCCAAAAATACGGCCATCCGTTTGAGATATTGATGTACGAGTGATGGTTTGGAGTTTGTAGTGTCACGTTCAATGCTTCCATAGCCTTATTTTGCGAAATTCAAATTTCAGTTCAGTATCCCTTTAACAAACAGCCTGGATACAAACACAAACTCAACATTACAGCCCCGACCACCGCTGTAACGGCATGCTCGACATTGCGGCAGTTTGCGTGTAAACCGCGCGAGGCTCGTAAAAAATTCCTTACCTCGCTTTTTCCGTTGCTTCTATGAGGTTTGTGTTGAGCACAGGGAGAAATGACCAGAATTCGTCCTTGGGAGTCACAGTGGCATTTGTACCCGAGGATTTTGAACTTGTATCAGCTGTTTCAAGAAAAAAACACAAAAACAATAACACCAAAAGGTTTTGGTTCAGTCACCAGTTTAGTTTCCATCATTTGTTTATCTCGGTGTCGAGGAAAACCTAGTTTGAGACTGTAGACTTATTGTTCTATTCACTGTTTAGAGCCCAGCGAGGGGCTGACGAAGTGTGCTGCGATGCGCCAACCCGTTGTACAGTTATAGCAGGGGTCTCAAACTCATTGGAACTTGGTGGTCAAATTTCTGACTCCCAAAAGGTCAAGGACCAAAGTAGAAGAGGGGGGGGGGCGGTGCTATTTTAGGGGACAGAAAAATAGCTCTGGAGGTCCATGTTGCGGAGCAGCTTTGTCTACCAGAAATCCTATAACATTGATTTCATACTCTATCCTGCTTGCAAACTCGCCCTTTTTCCAGCGGCATCTGTAGCTTTGAATAGTTTATGCGACTACTTGGGAGAAATACCTGATGAAGCAAGAAAAAGGAAAAAGGCACCGCTCTGAGAACATGCTGACATCTTCCAATTGAACAAGAGAACATACCGTCATTGCCCTGTCGTTCAACTCACCCAGAGATTAATCAAACTCAATGTTATTAAAAAAACAAAAAAAAAACTTTTTATGCGGTTTTTGTTATTTCGGCAATTTTGATAGGAGCATTACAAGAATTAAGTCTCGCATTTGAGTGTTTGTTTCTGGCTGCCTATTCATATTTTAACTTACGACATGCATCAGTGAAGGCGAGACGCTCAAGCTTATAAGCTTTGACAGTTACTCCTGCTACTTTTAAGCTCATGCATTCGAGGAGTGTCCTTGAGCAAGAAGCCCGTGCTTGTAGCCCAGTAGTAAGATCGTTGCACAGGTGACACAAATGAGAAAACGGTGGGAAAAAACTGAATACAATACAACACATCAAGGAAATGAAGGAATCATCAACATTAGAGTTTTATGGTACACAGGATACAGTAAGAAACAAATTTTTTTTTAAAACTTTCTTTCCCTTCTGGACAAATGGAATTTTGCGCACACATTCACGCAACGCCAAGACGGCGTTTTCTCCAGTTGGTTTTTACGGAAAATACGCGGCAGATTCGAGCGACGGTGAAGGAGATTTTAGTGGAGAGGAGGACCTTGAAGATGACTCGAAAGTTTCTGCAATGGAGCCTCGGATAAGGACTGCGACAGTTCTGCGAACAGAAGAGACGAAAAGAGTCGTACGGACTTTTGCCGTTTCTCGAAGCCGTTCACCCCAAACGGGTGCAAACCGAGATTCTGAAACTACTCGTTGTACAGTTCAAGATTCAGCACTTTCAGCCGTTTTCCGCGGACGCTTAAACGATGAACTACACTTTACGACCACCGAGTCTCCATTTTTCTTTCAGGGTAAAATAGTTCAGACTCGGGGGATTGACAAGGCGAAAGGACGCGTCACTTTAAACGTTTAGGCGTCAAAGGGGCTCGAGTGTTGTCCCTCTGAAGCGTAATCATTTACTGCCTCTAGCAGGCACTAATGGCTAGCAAAGCAATTGATCCCAAAAGCACGGTGGTCGGACATACGAGGCAGCGGTGCCTAGTACGTACCCGGACCGTGCTCGGGAACGGTCGACAGAGGCGATGCCAGGTCGAGCAAGTCAGCGGCCTGGTCGACGGAGACGTACTTTAGCTTGGATTCCAGGCCTCGGATGTTCTTCAAGATGGCGTCCTTGCCATTGGAGATCTTCGAACACAGGCTGAGGGTCGAAAAGTAAGCGGGAAAATCGAATCAGAGATGCGCAGAATGCTTTTCCCGCTAAATTTAGCATGCGGTGATCAAGCGTCGTCTTTGGCACGCCATGTGATGTTGCCGCGTCATGTTGTGGAGGCAAGCGAGGTCCCGTCATGCAATTCCACAATATCATGAAGCCATGTGAAACTGACGAACCGGTGGCGTTTTGCGATATTCATGGCTGTTTTGTGATCGCGTGACAACTATATAGTGGTAATATGATCACATAACTCTGGGGGATCATGTGATACCTATAGAGGTCATGTGATCACGTAACTATAGCTCAACGGCAGCACGATCCCTATGGTAATTATGTTATCCCATAACCTACGGTGACCATGGGATCATGCGACATCACGTGGTACCTCCCAATGTTTAGCAGCAACACAAGTACATAGCAGCTGTGACGACGCTAATCCAAGTTGCTCCTCCGACGTAGAATAGACCGACTTCAGAGCAACAAGGGTGGGGTTTAATTCCTCTAAAACAACAAACTGTCTTTTGTAAAGACACCTGGTCCTGTTATCATGTTTTTGCAACAATTTTCGGTAACACTCTAGACTCGGAAACAAGCCCACAGGAACATACTGGTTCAGAAAAGAAAAAAAGGCAGGTGGATTGTTTTTTGCTCTCCGGTTTCTTTTCGACCATGCGAGTGAAACTGACGAGGGCAAGAATTAGCTGCTATGAGAACATCCATCAGCAAGTACGAGAGCAATTTCATGAAGGTTTCCACCACAGACAGCCACCAAACTCAACATATTCACATAAACAAAATGTGCCTAAAACGGGGGTGCTGAAAAACAAAATTTTGAAAACTAGCATTGCGACAATAAACAGGTTACAAAGGGCATCACTGCTATTTTAAATATAATGCTAAAACAGACAACAGCGGAAAAACCGAATATTTTTTTTAAGGTTGCAACGTGTCACATAGTATTTGACGACATTCCAGATGGCTAGGCAGTAGCACCCTGTGCTAGGAAGGGGAGAAGGCAAAGCTGCAAGCACACCAGACCTGCTATCTCTTACCACACTGGCCTATTGTATTTCTCCCATGACCATGAACCAACTGTCTCATATCGCTACTATTATTAAGCATCAATAATCTAGTCGCCGATAATGAAACAAACTAAAGGCTGCTTCAGGCATTTGCGCTTGAGTGTGACTGGCCACACCACGACTGCTTGCTACTGTTCACGACAAAAGGGTTGCTACGTGAACCAACGCATAGCAGCGACGTTTATGACAAAGGAGACGTGGCAGAACACCCGTTGACGGCCTGCTCTTCTGGTGGTTCGAAAACGGCCTGAAGTATGTCGGCACGGACGGTGGCTGGAGAGACTCTGTGCACCGCCCATCGCAGCACGCTGTGACCATATGCAATTTATACAGTACCAACTTTTGAAACCTACTGTAACATCCCGAGTCGTCGCCCATCCCCGGGTCATTGCTGACCCCACTTTTGGACCAATCATGATTTTCAAAAAGCACAGAGTGATTGCCCATCTATACAAATACCAAAACGCTGACTCCGCGATCTGCAAACATTCATTCTACCCGAATGACGCTGTCGCGAACCTTAGGGCTGGAGGACATCCGTGACAAAGTAAAACGAAGAAGGGCAAGACACTTAAGTTTGTCTACGCATCTCCTACCCGATTTCTGCGACCCTGGAGTTGGAGTACGTGCGTGCAAAAGAAAAACCATGGAGACACAAAAAAAATTTTATCGGACAAAAAAAGGAAGAAAAAAGTTAGAAACACGCTTTCACGAAACACACACCCGCACTGTGTGCCGATCGGTGGTGTTCATCGCGCGTATGTAAGCCACAAACTTTTCAATAGTAAAACATTCTTTCATGAGCATTTCTTGCATGAAACAATGAAAATAATTAAAGTTTGATGTATCTCTTATGCAACCACGCTAAATATGTACAAAAAAAATGGGAGTTTTTCAGCTTTTTTCGACAGCAGAGCTGTTAAAGAGGCAATGACACGTCAAAATCACATTTTTTTTTCATTATCCGAAATGATTGAAAATTTTGCCTCGACATTACCCTCAAAATTCGAAACTTGGGAATTCGGTACTTGTGAAGTAGAAAAACAATTACCAAATGCCGAATTTGAAGTTCCCACACGATCCGCGCTAGTGTAGTGACGTCAAATATTGAGCGGCCCTGCGAGTCGACTTTCTTTCATGCCTCTGCTCCAAATGTGCGTGTTTGTAAGCGTTTTCCGCCGTTGCCGCTGCGACCCGAAGCGAGGACGTGACGAGCGGGAGAGAAGGGTGCCAGCGTACCAGGAAAAACCGGTTACCTTCGTGCGTGCTGTGTCGTCTGTCTATCGCTGAGAACAGACGACGCTTGACGTCTTGCCGCTTCTGCGTGAAAGGCTGCCCCGGCGGAGTCACAACCAAAACAACGATACACAGACACCAAAAACCCAATTGTTTTGAGCGTCTCACTATTTCTTTTCGAAGTCTGAGAGGTCGTTGGGCACCTAAAAAAGGTCACTTCGTCCGATTCCCCGACTCACCGATCAGCCATGTTTTCCGAGGGAGAATAAAAATCCAGGAGGCGACATCACAATGGACTCCCATTTTTGGTATTTCAAAAAGAAGGGCCGTAGTGCATTCGCAATTGCGTTAAAACACAAGTTTTACGATTGCCGTTATTAAATGTTACAGAAATGACGTCTACAAAGCTTCAAAATTTCATGATATTTGACGTTGAAAATCAAAAGAAGCGAGGCGGTCAAAAGCGGGAGTGAAAAACGCCAAAAATAAAAAGGCGCACCCGCGAGTGGGGCAATTTATTTTGTGATGCGGTATTTCTTTGCGTGTCTATGACAACAATTTGTATCGTTTTAGACAATAAAAGAAATAGGACCTTTGGGGTGTCAGTGCCCCTTTAAGGGCTAGTTTCCCCAGGATCGTGTCTGCCAGCAAATAAATGTCGACACAACACTTCGGACAGCTACCGCCATCTATGAGTGACGGCGGCAACCAGACAACCAGCTTACCGGAAGTCTGGATGACGCTGTTGCTCGTAGATGGCGACAACGTTTTTAGCCTTTCCACTCTGGCTTGCCGATTTGCGGCCAGGCAATACTTCATTCCCACCATAATACAGCTTCGCTGGTCTTCCTTCTTCACCAGAGTGGAAAGGCTGAAAGTTTTTTTTTTTTCCTTTTTGTGCTTATCCACTGGGACATGGTCCACCCCACTCTTTTTTTATGAATTTCAGGCGGCAGGGAAGTGGGCGATGATTCGGGATATTACGGTACGATGGTGCGACTAATAGACTGGAAAATATTATGGTTATTTTATGGCTCCGGTTAAGAGAGTCACCGGTGCCCCACTTCGACAACCCGACCGTCAAGAAACAAAGTAGGGAACGGACGTGCACGAAAACTCTTCCACTCACGTCTCCCGAAGCTTGCCGAGGTCCGCAACGTTCCCGAGCTGTGCCAGTTCCGCACCCCGCATGTTGAACGCTCCGGATGCCATGCTGGACGTGTAGAGGTTCAGGTACTGGTAGATGCTCTCGTAGCCCATGTCCTGCTCTGCATACATGCTCGCGAGCACTTCCGGATCCACCCGGTCCAAGGGACTCATTGGCGACTCCAATGGAGATGCTGGTATCACTGGTAGCGTTCGGAGCGCGCTGCCAAGAGCTCGCCTGTTGTTGTTGTTGTTTCCGTGCTCCGAAGCGGAGCAGCCAGGCTCCGGAGCACCGTCGGAGTCTGCTGGACTTGCGTCTTCGACGGAGTGACCCTGACTGTCTACCGTTTTATTGTTATTATTGTTGTTATTTTGTAACCTATGGACTAAGCCCCTGCTTCCGACTCCGATGCCAACTAAGCTCGGCACGGGAGGAATCGAGTCTGCGGCGCGACCGAGGTTAGAGAGCTGGCTTGGCCGTTCGGCCAAGTGAGATTCTGGGTTGCGCCTATGTGCTTCAAGGCTACGGCTTCGGCTCCTCTGCGGCCCGGCTGCAGCTACGGTCGAGGCCGGAGACGAGCTGCGAGATCCGGGCACGCTTGCAACTCTCGAAAGGGCGGAACTAGATGTCGTCGGACTGCAAGCCTTGATTGGCTTTGGCTTTGGGATGCACTTCTCGGTCGAAGCCGTGCGGCTCAGAGACGCCGGGGGAAGTGGATCGCTTCCGCGTCTCGGAATCCTCCGGATCGGCTTCGGGCTCGGAGTCTTTGCCTTGGCTATGGCCGGCTCCGTCGAGTGGCACCGGACGTGGCGTGGCGATGAGAGCGCATCGCGGTCCCTCGTGACATTGGGGCCGTTTCTGTGGTTGCGGATGGTCGGGGACGGCTCTAAATTTGGACGGTCTGGCTTCGGCTTTGGCTCGGCAAATCCCGGAATAGATGGGGGCCTTGCGGTGGCATCGAAGCCGCAGGCGTCGCTTAACGCTTTTGAAACGGCCTCTGCCACGGAAGCCTCTCCGAGTTCGTCGAGCTTGTCCAAGAGTTCGAAGACGAGGGCCGGTGGAATGGTTGACTGGAAGACAGCACTGCTCAGGCAACAACTGTTCTGGAGGAGAAATTGTGCACACAGGGCTGTCCGACCATGATGCATCAGACACGGGACGACCTGTTCCGGAGTGAGGAGAGCACACGACCGGAATTCACCATTGAAAAGCTGGAGGTAGATGGTGTTTCGGATGCACCGTGCGTCTTTGACGTCTGCGGAGAGAGAAAACGGCGATGCGGATAACCAGTTCCAAAGTGCAAACTTCTGCCGTACGTAGCAGGAACCTTTTGTGCTCACCTTTTAATTGGTCGTTCCATAACATGACCTTGGCTCGATGAGGGTCGATCACATACAGGCCCCTCGCACTCCAACTCATCAGGAACGGCATGCTTTCCCCGCTGCGTGCATAACCAAGTGTCACGCGACTCAATCAATAAGACTCACAGGAAACAAACTTCAAGGTCTAGCACAATGCATGTGAACACTGAAATGATGGACATGGACACACAGCACCTTGCCAGCTTCTCCTCTGACGTACAAGTACTCGTGTACCACTGCTGGTTGGCTGGTACAAGTGCTGGGATCCTTGATCTAACAAGAGCGAGGTAAAATTGCTAGTAGCTTGGTACTGGAACCTCTGGCCTTCCGGTATTGAGGCACAGTACTCGCAGGTCATACCAGTACCGGTTTCACCAACCTGCTGACAGTGAGGTACCAGTAGTGGATGGGGGTTACCAGTACTTGCAGGCCGCTACCAGTGCTGGTCTGTCAGTACTATGATCTGTTGCAGATTAAGAAAGGCCGGGCAGTCCCCTCCCACAAAGCTCTCTGCTTGCCATCATTGCTGGATTCCACCTCTCCACTCACCTTCTCTCCTGCTCTGCTAAAGCAGAAAGAGTGAAGAACTTCGAAGGAGGAGCCTCTCCCACTTTTTTTCACATGCAACAGACTATAGTACTGACCTACCGTCGAGAACAGATCAAACAAATCTGATGACAACTGCAGCTTACCTTGCCCACACAGTCAGCAGCTTGCAGAATGCCGTGCCCTGTCCGTTTCCTGGTGCCACATTTTCCACTGCATTGTTGTCCGACCTGGAGGACACAGTTCCAAATGAAAGATGCGAGAAAACAGGCCACGCTTGATCCGATGGATTTTGAAGAGGTAAAAGAATCTTTGCTTAGTTTTGCATATTTAAAAAAATATTCGGTTTAGAAGAAAGAGCGCTGCGAGTCAGTGTCAGAATCACCACCTACACCGTCTGTCCTTCATGTTTTTCTGGCCATCCTTGCCTGTTGTAGGATCTTGCTGCTTACAACTTCTATTCTTGCTTTAACCCTTTGCCTACCGCAACAATTTTGAAAAAAAAAACGATTTGAAAATACTGATTCTTTTTATGTGCCCTATATATTTAATATGCAATACAAGGCCAAAAACAAATGCCAAAAATTTATTATAGGAGAGATCTTTGAACACTCTGCAGAAGAAAAGGAGACTAAAGTTCGGCTTCACTACATTACTGCAGACAGTTCACCTTACCTTGCACGCAAAGTGAACGGAAAACGTGGAGGGGCAGGAGGGGGATTTTTTACGTTGATTCTAGTCCAATGCCGACATGTTGACATGATGTCCTCATAGAAATAGAAGTCGTCTGAGCTCAAATCCAATAACTCAGTTGCATCGCTCTTGCTGTCCGATGAAAGATTCATTTCCTCGTCTTCCGAATCTGAAGAGACGTCACAATATCTTCGTTTTGCCCCAATTTCGATGCAAGATCGTCACTACGAACGCAGCGACCAGAAGATGTTGCCGCCATTTTTAAATCCCCAGTTGCCTGCGTTGGAACAATTTTCCGCCCAAGTGAGAAAGTTACCATGTTCTTATTTTCCTCGGAGCGCCATCTATCCACGGCAAAGCTAGCTATAAACACGTGGACTAGCCCAGTTCGTCCATGGTAGCGTATTTGAGCCCCAATCAACGCGGACGAGCCCAGCTCGTCTTCGGGAGGAGCGGTACAAACAGTGTGGACGAACCCAGGTCGTCCATGGTAGGGAAAGGGTTAAAGCTGAAATCGGGCTGCGATTGTCCGGTTTCAAAAGTACAGTACGAGCCACCCCAGAACCGAGAGACCAAACTATGGTCGGTGACAGGTTAAAGGGACACTGACACCCCCCAAAATTTTTTTTTAATTTTTTGCCAGGCGCTTCATTATGGTGCCGGAGGACTACCCAATTAATATTTTGCAACAAAGTAGCGCATTTTTTTAATAAAGTCAAAAGACGCAACAGCTCGAAACCGAAACCGAAACCCGACGGAGGTCGGAGAAGTGGAGAGAAGAGAGCGAGTGGCGGAAGTCACGTGTCTACACCCGACCGTGTGTTTTTTTTTTTTTGTTTTTTTTTTTGTCTCCTTCCCGGTAGCAGACGACTTGCGGCGTACGGGAACTGTTCGCCGTGGGATTCTTTTGCAGTTATGTATGTTCCGCTCGTTGTTCTGTACTCCAAGATGAGTTGTTTTGTATATTGAGGAGTTGGAGATGAGTAGTGAGTGCCCGTGGTGAATTTTGATCGGCTCCGAAAAGAATACACCCAAGATGTTGCGTGAAGAGCTGGCTCACATGTCCTGCGTCCGAAACAGAAGTGGCATTGTGCGACAGAGTTTCCGAAAGATCAACGGGATCGGGACCAATGGCTGGCTGCAACTGTAGACCATTTACGGGCACCTCGGAAAGCGGACGCTACCTGATTTATATGCTCCTTGCATTTTGTGGAAAGTGATTACATTGAGTTCGCAGGTGTCAAAAAGGAAATCCCATACCATTTGATTCAGCGACGTGTCGTCCACCACATTTGTTTCTTTTTTTGTGTGTGTGTGTGTTTCTTCAGTGATAATTTAAAAAAAAGAAAAGAAATGTAGACATAAAAAAACATAAAAAAAAAAAAAAAAACACAGTTCCACGGGGGATCGAACCCGGTCCTACGGCGTATAAAGTGGACGTCTTTCCCACTAAGCTACTGGAGCATATCAAAACTAGGGGATCTCTTTCCTTAGTAATAATTCAGCCGATAAACTGTAAGTTGGAAAGTTTGCTACCGATTTTCCTTTAGCAAAAGCACTCCCGGGTCGAAGTCGGGATGCACCCCGCATTGGCGACATTCTCACCTTGTAAAGAAATCGTACGCGTGCATATTAAACTCGAAGTAGACACGTCGTGCTTGACGTTTGCGCGAGCGATATCTTCAGCCACGAGAAGGGAGCGACGGCTCGGCGACGTCTTCGTGCAAATCGGCTTGGTGGTCGGGCGTGTCGTACGGGATGAAGACCAATTCTTTTGATCAGTCCCAAATTTCTCTTTTAAAGGCAGACAAAATTCTCCGGTACCGCGAACGACAGTTCTGAAATAGAGGTCCCACGCACGTCGTCCGCTGCCATCGCGTCCCTGCGAGTCCCACGATACGCGAAACGACGCACGCACAGAATGCTTCCGGTTGTCTGTGAAACTTTTTTTTCAATCAACGTATTTGCAGCTTTTTAGAAGCCACAAAAAATGGGTTTCATATTTTTTTCTGTTTTTAATATTGAGTGTGTGCCTTCAGTGACCCACGACTTTGATTAAGTTTGGTGGTCGCATCGATACCTTAGAAAACGGCCCGAGACCGCGGAAAAGAGAGTGAGCGAGACTCGAACCGGCCAGTTCTTGATCGGCGGTTTTCGGGCGGAAAGAAACCGAATTTCGAGCCGCAAATTCTGTTCTGGGTAGTTGAGCTCTCATATGTCACGTACAACTAAAAACCTCGGCGAGCATAAATACCCTGTCAGTGTCCCTTTAAGAGTTTAAGGAAGGCTCCCACCCCTTACCACTTCAGCAGAGCAAATGCTGGAGAGGAGGCGACCTCCTCTCCAACATTTTCTCTGCTAAAGTGCAAAGAGGTGGAAGGAGCTTCCTCATCGCTCTTAACCTGTCACAGACTGTATGCTTAATTACTGCCTTGTGGCTGAGGGCCCCACTAGGTCAGGGTCCTGCACAGCTAAATACTAAAAGGAAAATGTAGAGGTTTGATTTTCAGATTCCTTCCATGCCCTCACAATTATCCCAAATCATCAAAATTGTCATCACACTGCCGGACACTGCCGTAGAGACCGTAGAATGTGTACAACAAATCTGGAGGGAAAGGTCTGCCACCTTCCCATGCTTTTTGGCCACCTTGAAACAGTGAGGCATAGCAATAGCCATTAGTGGTTGCAGTGGGCCCATATTGCTGGCAATAATTTATGAAAGGAAAATATACTAAAGATGATACCTAATCATTCTAGGTTTATTTCCAAAGAAAACACTGGCATCACACACTAGATACAAAAAAGAAAAAAGTTGAGAGGCAACTGACGACTTCAGAACATTGCAAAGAAACAAACATGCCAAACATTTAATCTGCTTTGGTTTTACGTTTCTCTGTGGTTCCCTTTTACAGTGATGTCTCGCTAATATGGACACCTCCATTCTTCCAGAAAAAGCATGCATAATGTGAGTCGTCCATAACAATGTGACAAAAATGAACGTATTTACCGTAGTTCATCCTCGAAAATGTTGCCAATATAATGGGACCACTGATGTCAGTGCCTACAATTGGCCGCAGTTGGCCCCTCTTATCACCCTCTCCTGTCAGAGACTAACCTGTCAGTGACCAAAGGGGTAGGTGCAACAGCCAGGGCCTCTTTGAACTGATGGGTCTTCAAAACACTTCCTCGCAGATCAGCCTGAAATGCAAGCATGCGAGAAATGTACCCTCCCGAGAAAAAAAAAATAACACCTAAACAATCAAACATTTTTCTTATTATTTTTTTTAGAGAAGGACGTTGTAAGTTATTACTACAGCGCCATGGCCCCTTGATCCCCTCTCCTGTTGCCCTAGGAGTGACCTGCCAGTTTTCCTTGTGAACAAAAGAGCGTTCGTGAGGGGGAAAAGTTCTGTCTGCCGTGATGGACAGTGAAAACCGCGAAAGCCAAAGTCGTGGTGAAAGTGTTGAATGCGGCCAAAGTCAAGGCGTTTTAAAGGGGCACTCAAGTGGATTCTGAGATCGTCTATTTATTGTCATAACTCAATCTGCGGGCTCTAAGCATCCTAGAAATCCCAAAATTACATTCAAGGGCGGCCGAGTTCCCTATTAAAAATCCAATCAAAGATCGCTGTTCTGCGCCTAGGCGCACGCCGTCAGGGGCGCTGTCGGACGGGAAGGCAGCAGGGAAGGGCGTGCGCCATCCAATCACGAGTGACGGCTTCCCGGCGGATTGATCCTTCGAACCGGCGGAGTGATCTTCCGAATGTGCGCGTATTTGATGGCTTCTCGTTGGGACTCATTTTGTTTACTTCGGGTCTTGCGTCGTGCGGAGATGGACCTGCCAAATCTAACACCGTTGGAGGTGGAAATTCTTCGGCGGACGGCAGATATCAGCTCAATCTCCTACGACGCCACTCCTACGCGCGACGCCGATGCCTCGAACGCGACGGACTCGGACGACAGTTCGCGATGCTCAATGTCGACACCGGAGGAAGACGACGAAACCGACGACGCAACCCAGCGGCTTGGGAACACCAACTGGTAGGGGATGAGCTGTTTATTATACCTCTCATATGTATAGCTGATGCTGGTTTTCTGTTTTAAGGTGCCAATGCAGTTGCTGCGTGCCGACGGAAACCGTCGCAGAGTGTGTCTGCTGCCGTGACTACCCGGCCGCCGTTCGCAAGCAGCAGGGCCGGCAGAGCTGCGTGACAAGCCACCCGGATTTCCAGGGGCTGTGCCTCGATCCGGGTGTGCTACAGCTGGCCTAGTTGAACATGCGCTACTATGGTGAAAGAAACATGGGGGCAACCTCGAACAAGTGAGTACAACTTCGTGTACCGGTCGCGAAACTTGCTGTTCTGCCTCGGCCCCCGTTTTTCTTGCGTACGCATTGAAGCGGCGTGATAGCTTTGAATAGAAATCATCATTAGCGTTCAACTGCTTTTGAATGTTTTTCGCTTTGCGTGTCTGCTTTTTTCTTGTTTGCCGTGCTTTTTTGGTTCCATGCCCATGCCTCCCAAGCCGCGGGCCGAGGATAAGGACGGGTAGCTTTAGGACAGCGTCTATTCGCCCGGCAGCTGGGAGAATAATTTTTCGAAATTCTACCGACGATCGCCTCCCATTGGTTGTCTGAAATCATACAACTGCCGGTAGAATGCTGATTTTCTTGTTCTTCCAACATCTCATGGAAACACGTTTCCTGGACAACTTTTCCTGGACACGTATTGTCGACGCTGACGTTTCATCGACACTCGTTACGCGAATTGCACGCTGTAGGGACACTTCATCGCGCGTGTATCCCTCGGGCCAGTGTTAAACCCCCCCTCTTCGCCTCCGCTTTCCCTTGGCGACGGTCAATGGTCCAATGGGAGTCAACTGCCGGTTGAATTTCGGGGAAATTATTCTTCTGGCTGCCGGGAGAATAGATGTTATGTGGCTTTATAGACTGACATGGAGTCAGAGTTGGACTACTGTCTCTCGTCGGTTCTTGAGGCTGCTCAAGTAGTCAGACATTGCAAGGAAAACGTAGTCAACTATGCAAACGCAAAAAAATACAAAGGGAGTCACACAGACGCCGGCAACATCGCATTTCAATGGTTTGTTTATGGGCAAAGGCGAGCTTCTTGCCCACACTCCATTGCGCATGCGCGGCGCCGGTGGCATCTGCTAGGGGCGCTCCAGTTTGTTTATAAACATGAGTTGGTGTATAGTTAGTTGTGCCGATCATTTGTTTGTTTGCAAATACATCACATGCACAGCGAAAGGAAACATAAAAGAGAACCATAATATATGATGGTTTTTCCGGGGAAACAATCACAAGAGAGGTGTAGATTTCAGAGTAGCGAATATTGCTTATTACATCTGATTAGTCTGGTCATTGCCTCAGGTGTATGGCTGGTGGGTGTTCGTTACATTCAATAAATGTGGACATTGTTTCAGGCGCTTCCGGTTCGCTGCCTATAGGCAGTGTGTGCTTTGGCTGTGGCGAAGACTTGGACAGAAGAACAGGCGACCACTGCCCTCCTGCATGGTCAAGGCAATTAGAGGTCACTTTGCCAGCGACACCTATTCCGGGTTTCGGTACCCCTCCCTTTAAAAAAATAAAAGCGCTAAACAATGCATTGCCCAGCAGTCGTTCTTCGCCCAAATGTAATGTTAGGCGTTAGAACCAGATGACAGCTTATTTTTGTCCAGTACAATGTCATTATCGATTTTCATATTTCAGAGAGAACATTGGGAGTTTTCATTGGCTGCCATCTTCTTGGCGCCTTTGAGCACTTACTGCTATACTCCGTGTCACCTAACAACCGACTGCTGTGGATGCTACGAGCCATTGAGGCGAATCCAAGGCACTTTGAGAGTTTCCCATAACCTTTGAGAAAAAGCACGTTTTTTCAAGATAATTTTTTTTACCGACTTGACGGATTTTGTGAATAACACATTATTTTTGGAACAACGCCACTAAATACAGACGAAGGGAAAGACTGGAGAACACGAGCATGGACAGATTGTTTTCATGTAAAGCCTAGCCAAGTGCTGTGTTCTCGGAGCCAAATTGGCTAGGAAGACTCGAACACTAATTAGGAATTCTTGCTCTTATTCCTGCAATGCACATACAAGTTACCCAGTAAAAAGGCATCTTTACTTGACATTCTTTTCAGCTGAAATTGGATCTTTTGCTAACACACAAAAGAGCCTCGGGAAGATCCTCTTCCTTATCGTTCTCGCGGCGAGATAAGCTGCGAGCCACGCGCTTTCCAAGACGGAGCCGTGTCGCCGCGTGGGCACATCACTCCCGCGTAACAAGGCGAGGAGAAAACGTAGTTCGCTCTTTTTCAAACAATAATAGCTGTATTCTGTCACCTACAGCCAAAGATTTGACGTTGTCGTCAAAATATAATGTGCATGTGCCTAAAAAGAGCAATAATAATAACTTCAGCAATCTTTTCGCAGTTCGCTATTTCTATTGGTCCAATTCTATGGAGGTGGTGGAGACACGGGATGGACCCCGCAAGAGGATATAGTGCCTGTGTATTTCTATTGGTGTGAGTTTACTAGGGCGCCTTGCCATTTAGAACTGGTCATTTTTATTGACTGAAGCCCAACAAACAATATGCTTCCAAAAACAAGCTTCTCCAAAAAGCACTTGAGTGCCCCTTTAAGCCCTTTTTGCTGTGTTTATCTGCGCTCGTGTGAGTAGCCTGATTTTGGACAAAGATTAAAGCTCACAAAAAAAGTGAAAGCCGTTTACAACTCCCTGTAACGCCGAATTAGAGCGCAGCTCTTGAGGAGGAGGAGGGAAGGGTACTGAGGGTCACATGTCTCGGGGGGGCTCGGGGGGGGGGGGGGGGGGGGGTTAGTGACCGGGAATGGGGGTGGCACGTGACCCCCCAGAGAAACTTTTCCGCTAGATTTAGCGGGGAAATTTTTCCACTAAATTTAGCGGGGAAATATACCCATAATGCACCTGCGCAGTTATGCAGACGCCGACGCCGCTCAAGCCGGAAACGGGCGCCTAAGAGCTGCACTCTAAAATGAGGACGACAGGGAAGAAACACACACCACACACAAGCACTAGCTCACAACTGATCGATTTATTGTTACTTAGTAGATAAAGAAAACACAGAAAAAGAACACTCCCAATACAGACCCTGCACAACTCACTTAAAAAAAAAAGAATAAACAAATTGATTTGTTGTGAGTAAGCGCTAGTCTGTGGTGCATGTTTTTTCCCGGCTGTCCTCATTTCTGATGCGCTTTAATCTTCACCACGAATCACTACACTGGCCCAACCTTCCACCCTTCTGCAGACTGATTTTTCAGTCATTTTATAGAGTAGTTTTTTAGAGTTGCTGGGTTTTCACAGGAATTACGGGGCACGCAATGCCTAACAATTGCAGCCTGCCGTGTTGCAAATCTGGTGTGCCAAGAAACCCAAATCTCCGATATCACGAGGTGCCATCCAATGAAAACTTTCAGGATGCCTGGTTGCGAAACATTTCACGGCAAGGCACCAAGATCCAGGGCCGTTGTGCACTCACTATCAACGACTTGGTAGTCACTGACAACAAAATAGGTGAAAGCACATTTTTTTTTTTTTTTGGGACAACATTTCTGAAATTTAAACCACGGGCAATCTATTTATAAAAAAAAGATGTGTGAATGGGTCTCAATATATTAGCAATTAATTGTAAACTGCAATAAAAGAAAAGTTTTTACATTCTGGTCAAAGGGAATAAACACTACAATAATCACACTCTCACTATAAACTCATGCCATTTAGAAACGCTATAAATTGTCAAATGTTCTGGTGTAATTCTCAACAAATGCATGCGGCGGGACGAAGCAGTCCAAATGATCAAAAGCTACTAAACATTGCAGTTATAATATACGAGCAAAAAATACATTACGCTTGTTTGTACCGTCTTATTTATACCTCTGTTCCGTGCTCGCTATATTTACAGTTTCTTGGTACGGGGGAAACACAACTGTTTCTCATTTTTATCTTGTCCATAAATCGCAGAAAAGATTTATTCGCCTTGTTAGGCAGTCAGAGGCATGACAGCTACACAGCCCTCTTATTTGAAAAGAATTAGGTACTACTGTTCAAATAAAAATTTTCTATGATAATAAACTTGGTCTAACTACAAAAAAAAAAAAAAGAAAAAAAAAGAAGAAAGCTTGGAACAATTCAGATTGTAATTTGCTTTCAGTTTCTTCCTTGCAATTAAAAAGGTGCTTCGTATGCCACTCTCCACCTCGGTGTCTACACAGGCCCGCATTCGAGGACGAACTATGGTAATATCAGATGACCTTCCCTAAGGCTTTAAGTTATCTTTTATAACTTGGGGACCAAGGGGACGTGCTAGGCGTCAAAATATTCGAAGGGAAAAGGAACAAATAGAGACATTCTCCTTTGAGTCGCATTGCCCGTTGAAATTGAAATCTGTGATCACGGCTTCTGACCAATGTAAGATCCCTGCCGCAATTGTGTCTCTACTTCTGGCACTGATGGTAATTGCAGAGTTGAGCCGCTTTACCCAGCAGCTTCCTCGACGACTTGTTTGTTATCCTCCGTCTCACTAAAACCGTGCAGTACAGCCAAAGCTGTAAGGGAGAGAGTGTACCCCTACCTGTTCAAGAGGAGGGAAAGGAGGAACTGGGAAATTCTAGCCCTCCTCTGCTGTTCCTCCTTTCCCTCTTTTTGAGCAGGTTGGCATACATTCTCTCCTCTGTAGCTTTGGCTGTACTGTACAATATTAGTGAGACAGAGTATAGGGATCCCCTGCTATGGTGTACCATAACCCCAACCAGCAATCCTGAGGCAATGTACAAAAGGAAAAACGGAGCAGAATACTAGCATAGCTGAGTAGCGACAAACCTGTGCAGAGGGGAAAAAAAAATTTAGTTTTATAAATTAAAGGAGACGGCTAGACCTACTTCTTAAAATAAATGTGACGGCGGCCGACATCACCATTCGAAGGACTGCACACACTAAAATAGCTCAGATTTATGCCTTTCTGGATCGCCGAATATTATTTAAAGGCATATTTGACTAATTTTGCAATTATAACACATAGTTATTACTTTTATAAATAAAATATGAAGATACAAACACTAAAAAACCCAAATCACGTTTTTTTTTGGAAAATATTGTTGTGTTTTTTTTTGCACCTCCCGTTATTCTCATAATGCGCTGGAGTATAAACACGGTGTACCTCCCAGAGCCGTGAGCCCGGACGTGCGGCGTAGATGGTGACCGGGTCCTGAGCCCTCGCACCAGGAACGAAGCAGCCACCAAACTCTCCATCCCTCAGTTTCTTGCCCACCTGGGTAAACTTCTCCCTGCATTCAGGAGACGGGCAATTCTCGTAAATAAATCGGTTCTCAATGAAAGGCGTTACCTTGTACCTTTGTTCCTCTCGAAAATAGGCAGCTGCAAGTGCGTAGCATTTTGTGAACAATGTGATGAGAGACGTCGCAAACCTTCCGAAATTTGAATTCGAAAGGTTTTGGCATTCTTTGAACCTTGTTCGGGTTCGCGTTCGTGATGTTTGCAATGCTGGAACCCCGGCAAGGTTCAAGGGGGGACACTACCTGGGAGTGTCAACTTTTAAACCGCTCACTCAATCGGCGTGATATTTGCAGGTGGTATTTGTAGCCATATAAAAGAAGGGCATGCACAGTTTCAGGCCTCTGAACCAATTTTATGAGGTACTATATTCCCAAAATGAAGTAAAGCATAGCTTTGCATGGAATCTGCTCAATGAATCTATCATTGAGAAATGGTGTTGATAACAACATATTTTTCAGGTGGAATGCATTTGGAATACCTGTTGCTGGTTGCAATGAAAAGAACTTTCAGAAAATATGCATTTTCCAAGTGAAAAACAATTATGACTTTTTTTTTTAACATTTAGTAAGTTTAGCAAATTACAATTTTTCATAATAAAGGAACATGAAAATGCAAAATCTAAGTTCATAGTAACCGGCTTCTTAAAATTGCAGTCTACAAGCCACAAAATTAAGTCTCGCAATTGTTTCATACTGAAACGATAGATTTATTAAGCAAAATTAATGCAAAAGATTAGAATTGAGAAAAATGTGTTGAAAGTGCTAGAACCTCTGCTTTTTCTTTAGCATCGAATGACTGAAAATAATTAAAAAAAAATAACTATGAAGTGTAAACAAATAAAACTTTCTGAGAATACAGTTAAACCCACTTATAACGATAATGAGAAAACCTGAAATTACAATCATTCTAATCAATTATCGTTGTATCTGGTCAACTAATCGTTTCCACTCCAGAAACTCTAGAAACTGATCGTTATAAGCGGTAAATCGTTATATGCGGTATCGTTATAAGTGGGTTTCACTGTACTCTCTAGATGTTGGCAGATGTAAATATGGCATTTTTCAAAATCAACTTTTTATTAAGAATTTTTTTTTTTTCTGTGTAGTATCACTCCTTAAATTTGCAAAGTTTGAAGCTTTCGAGGTACCTTAAAAGTTTTGTTTTGATGGTTTCTAATTTCCCCAGTGATCGGGTTAGAAAAGTTTGATTTCGAATTCCTTTCAAGTTCATGTTTGTGAAGTTCTCGACTCTCACAGAGGTCAGAGTTCCAGTTTCTGATTCATACACAACGGTATTTTAATGGCTTTCGGAGCTGACAGAAGAGCCAGGTTTGGCAATGTGCGAGTATATACTGTGAACAGTCCACCTGCATTAATTCAACCTCGGTTAATTTGACTTATCGTTTAATTCGACCCTGTTCAAATGTCCCGGGAAAGGCCCATACATTTCTATAGAGAAAAAAACTTGTTATTTCGATCTCGAAATATAAAATATTGGTTAATTCGACCTAGCGAGAACCGGCAATGGGCAAACTACAAGCACGATTGGCCGTGCACGACGCACAAAAACAGGCCTTTTTTTTCTAATTGCGCATTGGGCAAGTTACAAACTCGATTGGCCGTGCCTGTCAGCAAAAACGCCTGTTTGCAAATTTTGAAGTGCGAAGAGAGAGAAAAAAAGAGCAAATGTTGAGACACGAGACAAGGCCGGGTCTCAACACAAAACAACCATAGCAACATCGCTGCAGAGCAGCGAGCGCCGATTGGCTGTTTGTGAGAGAGGGCCGCTGGTGACATCAATGCGTGCAACAGTGACATTTGCCTCTTAGCCGCTGGTGCAGTGCAATACATTCACTGCCCACCGGTCACCGCCACCGCCGCACTGAACACGTGAAGGACATACTGCGGCGACTCATCGTAAAAATGTTGGTCCACCACGTCCCATCAAGGTCGAATCAACGGAAGTTGACTGTAGTACAGTACTCTTCTCCCTAGTTGAAGGCAAAGTTGGCAAAGCCATCACCGCCACCAGCCTGGTAACTGACTTGCTTGCAACCTGAAGTCTGGAGTACAGTCTTCTATGATGGCGATCATACAATTACCGTAGAATACCGTGCATCTGCCCCATTCCACATTAAGCGCCCATTCCCAAATTTGTAAGATCTGAGAAAATACGCACAGTACATTTGTATGTAAAATTGATGACCGGGAAAGCGCCCATCCCCCATTTTTTTTTTGTGATTACCTCCAAAGTTTGAGTGGGCGCTTGCCTGGTATTTTACGGTATGTACTTGTACTTGATTGCTTTGATTTTGTTTTTATCGTACAGCTTTACCAGCACAGTACAAGTGCGGTCGTTAGTGATTTGGAGCAGTTGCTAAGGGTTAAAAACATGTCAAGTTAAGGCATGTTTTGGAGACTCAATTCATTAGCATTCAATTCACCTTTCAAGTGCAAACCATAAACGTGGCTTACATATCATCAAACTTTTAAGCATCGCAGGTTTGAACATTCAACATATGACAAATCTGCAGCAGAATACTTAAGAAAATTGTTGAATTCTTCAATGTAATAAGTTTGCAAGTTAAAATATCTTCTAACCTTTCATAATTCTTAGCTTCATATTTTAACCCCGGGTAAGAAATTAAGCTGCGGCACCTCCAGTTACGAAGTTGAAACCTTGCAGTTTTCTTCTCAGTCTTGTGATCTCAGTATCATTGAGGCTCTAGTTTATATTTAGAAATTTCCCTAACTACACGTATGTTAAAAGGAGTTCCTGCCATTCTTTCAGTTCACCCTAAAGTTCCCCAGCAATCCCCAAGGTGCACAAACATTTCCTCAATAATTTCCCCGGGACCACTTAAAACTCCCCAAGAATGCACCACACTTTATATTCCCTTTCCATGAAATAGGCCACCGCACTAAAAAAAAAAAGCCAGAGTTACCATAAAATGCAGAGCAAGCATCAACTAAAAATCAGGGAAAAGCTTGAAAAACTGGGGAATCATTATGTTTCAGAACAAAAAATGAAAGCCGTTAACAACTCCCTGTAACGCCGAATTAGAGTGCAGCTCTTGAGGAGGAGGAGGGAAGAACTGAGGGGAAGGTATACCCCTTCTCCCTCCTCCTCTGAATGGCCAAAGGTCATGCGAGGGGAGGGGGGGTCATGTGACCCTCGCGTGGTGCATTATGGGACATTTTCCATAATGCACCGCGCAGTTACGGCGACGGCGACGCCACTCAAGTCGGAAACGGGCGCCTAAGAGCTGCGCTTTAAAATGCAGAAGGGGTATGTGATGGATGGGCTTCACCACTTTGCACAGGCAAACCTGGAAAAAACGGCCGACATGGAAGTGCACCTTAATTAGCTAGGTGGGCTCAAAAGTCTGGGTTAGGCGTTTGCTGTGTCCTTTGCTTATTTTAAAAATGTTTCAAAGGGAACGGGTAGGCACTTATTGTGACATGGGCACATGCTCGTCATTTTACAGTGAACGGTGAAAGACTGTTTTTCATTTTCAGAGTGAGCAGGGTTGAGAGCTCACCTGACGGTGTCTCCCAGGTAGCACCTTGTGAGGGTCGAGGCCAGCAGTCGATCTTGCGCAAAGTCCAGCTGGACCACCCTCGAGTCCAGCTTCATCAGGGTGCTGGGAGGAGACTGGAAGAGGCTCTTTGCCTACATGTGCCAAGCCAAACAATAGCCAATCCATTTGAGTAAATCAGAACCAGCACCAAAGAAGTGACAAGCGTGAAACTGCAACAAAACTGACTCGCAACGATCGCCCTTAGAGGGGCACTAAAGTGGGTTCTGAGATTGTCTATTTATGATAACTCAATTTATGGGCTCTAAGTATCCCCAAAAACCTGAAATTACACTCATAGGTGGCCAATTTCTCTACTAAAAATCTAATAAAAAATCGGGAGGCGCCCCTCTTTATGTGCCTTGGAGCAGAGACCAAGGCGCGCTGTCAAACGGCAAACAACAGAGCCATATATAGGGGAGAGTTTGGCCAGTTGGTGTGGCCTCGTTCACAGCTCGTCAACTATGTCACCGACACGCTACGCAAATGCCATGGCCACGCCCATTTCGCCATCTTTAGCCCAACCGACGCCAAGGACTTATGCCCGTATGCTTGGCTCTCGGTTTCCTCCAACGTACGATTGTTTTATTGTGTTTTAAGTCATCCGCTAACAGTATTTGATCTGTGTCGTGTTTATTCAGGAGCCATATTATTAAGTTAGCACCCGGTTACCTTGTCTGTTCTCCCTCCGTACACGCCGTGTCACCAGCCCATTCATACGCTTCGCAAAGATTCGGCGCGTCACGCAAATTACGCTTGCGTAAGTATTTTGCAATTTTTAGTTCTAGTTGACGCCTCTTGTTATTTTAGCAGTTGGCAATGATAACAACTTATAATTCGCAGCTGAGGGGATTACCATAGACTGTTCCGATAAGCGAGCGAGTACGAGAACGCCACCATTGGCCGTATTTTCAAAGAAAATTATCTGCTAGATTGTAAAGCAAGCTTAAGTCCTTCGTCCGAGAGTTTCCTAGAGTTTCGTTTCTTTCTAATTGCATTTCCTCTCATGCGTCAGCATGTCAAACGAGATGGCTTGATTGAAGCGATTATAGGATGGCAAGCCATGCATGCTCACTGAGTGCCTCAACCGAACTCGCTCACCAATAAAACATCGATCTTGCTCTCCAAACATGTAGGAAGCCGGAAGGTTATAAATAAATAAATAAATAAATAAATAAATAAATAAAGGTTGTACGAGTTCGCTGGCATTAAAAATGACGCTGGCACTAACGTTTGTCACAACGATAGAGACGTGTATTTTATAACAGAAGGTTACGAAATAAACATGGAGCGACTCAGCGCCAGGTGGCTCTTCGCCAATGGTGAGGTTGCTCGTTTTAATAGATTTAGATCAATTGATTGGCTGTTCCTAACGAAGCTGACATCTCAACATCTATCGTCATGCCATTACATGAAAATTAATGAAAGATGGAAGGACTACAAAATTAGCCTTTTCGTACATGAAATAACATTTATTAGAAGGCATCAAATAAAAAATTTAATAATTTCATGGTTTGGAGAAGAAAGCAGGGGAAAGAGCTGCACAGGTGGACGTCTGTGTCTCATGCTCCGATTATTCACATTACACATTACATGCAAGCTTTGTGTAGCAACTATACTCTCACCTCAAAAAACAGTAAAAATATTGGTTCCTCATGCAGCATTACTAAATTCCCCCTTATGTAGATATGTAAGATATATGCTAGTTCATTTTAAATTCGACAGATGTTATCTCATCAACAACACATACACACTTCAAACGCCAAAAACATTGCTTCTTCCTCCGACGACCAAACCTTGTAAGAACTACTTTGCGCGGCATATGAACAATACACAACTTCCTTTTTCTTTGAGGTTGGAAACGCATATACCGTAGTTTGCTAGTTTTCGTCGCAGTAGCGACAAAACTGCATTTTATAAGAGTTTTAAGATAAAACAAGCATACTTACCTCACAAAGACGGGAACCTTCTGTGGACATCCACAATTGTTGTGCTTGATTTTATTTAACCATATTTTGAGAATTTTCTTCTTTATCTTTTAAAATTATGAATTAAAAAATGAAAACCGTGACTGCCATGATTGGAACATCCAATCACAGAACAACCGACCATTTTCTCACCACAAAACCTAAAAAAAAGGGGGATCGGTGGCTAAGTGGGCTGAAGCGCACACCCAGCTCGACGCGCGTGGAGCAAAAGCTCGCGCTGCAGAACCCAGGGATCCTGGGTTCGAGCCCCACCCCTGCCCGCTTCGATCTGGATGAGCATCGTACCGGCGTGCGGTCGTGTATCACTACTGCGTGGTGCACGTTAAAGACCCCAGGCTAGCGGTTGTACTGCACTGGCTAAATTGCTCATCTACAGTGTAAATCAGTGTCGCCCCTACTGGCAGACCAACCTTACGCTGTATAAATCACTCTAATGTCCAATTTGACTTTTTTTGAAGGGTCTGTACGCAGGATATGTACCATGCAGCCCCTGCAGGCGCATGCGTTGGGCTGGGATCGGTAATGGCAAACAAGCCCGCGGCGCTCCCTTGGCATTTTCCGTTGCTACGCGGTTGCTAGGCCCGACATCAGTTCTATGGGAGGAGTCTGGGACGAGCGACGGTACGGCGAGAGGTCACCGAGGACAATAGGTGTCCAGTACTTCGCCTATATATGGCTCTGGCAAACAATAAATGCTGTGTTACGTGCATAAAAAAGAACAATAATAGTAACGCTCGAGATCTCCACGCTTTTACTATTTTCATTGGTCAAATTTTATGGAGGTGGTGGGGACCCAAGGGTGACCCCCTCTCCCCCCCCCCCCCCTCCCTCCCCCAGGAGAAAATAGTGCCCTTGTATTTCTTTTGCTGTGAGTTTACTGGACGTCTTGCCATCCAGAACTGGTTGTTTTTATTGACTGAAGTCCAACAAACAGCATGTCAACAAAAACAAGCTTCTAGAAAAAGCACTTGAGTGTCTGTTTTAATTCCACTGTTACTACAAAGATGTCACACAATTAGTTGAGTTTTGCGCAAGGTTCATTACGTACGAATCCTAAAAGGTGGAGACGAGACGCTCGATACGGCGAATATCTGCCAACACGAATGATTGTGGTGAAGAACAAACATTGCTGTGCCGATTTATTACGGCTCAATTAACCAAATATTCCGCTATCCGAGATAGACAGGATACAGAATCATTTGAAAAATGTGGCATAGCTTCGGCGCATTCGATCCTACTTGCGAGACAAACAGAAACACATCAAGGGGCTCTTCTGGAAGAGCGAGAGGCACCACCTTTGAGGAGGAGATGTTGAGCACCGAGACCTTGCCCGCCCCGTCGGCCGCAAACAGGCGGCTCCCGGCACCGTTCCAGCGCAGGCACGTGACGCAGCTCCCTTTGTGCTCGTACGACAGCTGCAGCCTCTGCGGCTGGCCGCAGCCCGCATTGTGCTCCAGCACCAGCACGTGGCCGCGGCTGCTCCCCCAGAAAACACGCCGGATGATTATACGTACTGTCGACGGACATCTTGTGAAGACTAGGGCTGTGTGTATAGAGGTGCCTCTGCATAGATCTCACGGTGCTAAAGCAATTCGTGACACGCTGGCTCTCACTGCGGTGCTTAAGCTAGGGACGAGGCCACGCTATTCGATCTGAAGCGGCATTCGCACACCCCTAGTGAAAATGTACTGGCTGTTTGGTCTATCCAGGCGGTCAGAAAATACCTCTAGTTAAAGCTGCAGTCCAAGATATTTTCACATCAAAAGACGAGAGAGAATAAGCGGAACTCGTTTAATGGGGGACACTACCCAAGAGGGTTGACTTTTGAACCTTTGGCTCAATATGACTGAAATTTACAGCATATACTGGACGTTGCGAGGAAGAATGCAGTGCAAAGTTTCATCTGTGTACATAAATTATAAATGTAATTATAGTCGTTTTTATGAGGAACACACTGACTTTGTTTAGAAAAACTATTGTTAGAAAACTAATGTAATATCCAACGCTTTTCTTCTCCAGATCTGTAGCAGAACGCCTGGAGAGTGCAACTGTGAAAACAAAATTTCCAAAAAGTAATTTATTTTGCACTAACGTTGTGGTGAAAAGTCAGATAAATTTTCTCTTTTATGTTGTTGACAAAATCTTAACATATTTTATAAAAAGACATCCAGAAAGTAAAAAAAAACAATTCCACTGTTGCATTGCCCATAAAATTTCAGTTAGGAAAAACAAAGAGTGAGCCTTTCCTTCTGTAAGAATAACAAACAATTTTTTTCCTAAAGTGAAATTTATGCCAAAAAGTGGAAGGGAGAAAAATGCGTTCAAAGTGCTCCAACCTCTACCTTTTCTTTAGCATTGGTGGACCGAAAATAATTTATAAAAAATTAACTATGCTGTGTAATCTAACGAAACCTTATGGGAATACTCTGTAGATGTCGGTGGATCTAAATGTGGCATTTTTCAAAATCAACTTTTTTTTGCAGAAATTGTTTTTTGTGGGTAGTGTCCCCCCTTAATGGCCGTGGCGGACACCATACCTTTTTATTTTCACTGCCTCCCGCTTGCACCAAAATCAAGATATGGTGTTCTAAGATTTCTTAAAATATCTAACCTCTGCAAAGCCACATTTTAAAGAGGGACCTTCTGGACAGTCTTAGAATGGAAAATGACCTCATCCCAAGCCAACTGGTTTTACCAAAGTCCAATGTCGACTGCGATTCTCACGCTTTCTGGTGACAGATCCCCTTGGCGAGTGTTTCTACCGATCTATGCTTTGTTGAAGGCTCTGCTGGACAGGATTTTGAATCTGTCCAGACACGACAGAACCCGTTAAGAAAAACTTACTCTATGTTTGGTCATTGTGTCAATAGTGTCTCAATGTTTATAGGGCCATCATTGGCGAAAAGTGTTTTGAAACTAAATAAATATTTTTTTTAAATACCTTTACATTACTGTGGTGATTATGCAATTTGACGCACACAAACAAACTGTAGCAACCGTTGGTGGCACTGCAGTGGCCGTCATGGTTCTTGTCGCTGTTTTTGTTGCTCTTGAGAGAGTTGCCGCTGTTTTCTGGTTTGGACGTCTGCAGAGCAACGGTTTATGTTCCAAGAAATATGCTACAAAGTCCATGCAACATAGTCCAAGAGTGCCTCGCAAGAAGACGCAATCGAAGGTGGTCGTTCAAGCTCCTGGTCGTCAGGGCCCTGATCTTGAGGCGGGCGCCCGCGTTTTGGTGGCACTGTGAAGGCTAGGGGCTAAATGGCACGAGCAGAGAGATGCTCGGTTTCGTATAGAAACAGATTATGACACAACATTGTCCTTTGTGTTGCTGCATGCGCTTCCCTTCAGCACCAGCCGACTACAAAGATTTTGGGCTGAATTTTCTGGGTCACCAAGAGGGGGGCAGCACTCTTTCCTGCCCTTTCCACTTCTCCTCGTTCAACACGCTCTTTCTAAACTATCCATCTCTGCTGCCCTCTTTCATGCCATTTTTTGAAGATTGTTTAGCAGTTATGAACTAACCGACTTACACATTTCATGCTTATTTATACGGTTCCTGAGGTTGGTTAGCACTATACTCTGTTTCATACTTAGCGTGCAACGCTGCCAAAGCTATTGGCGCGAGCGCGTGGCTTCATCTATTGTTTTGTTTGCGCGAGAACGCGTGCAAATGATCAACGAGATCAAGCCCCATGCAGCGCCAGTAGCTTTGACAGCGTTGAACGCTAAGTATGAAACAGAGTATATAAAGCTACCGCTTTAGAACCACTGCCTGCTAGGAGACGGAAACCACAACTTAATATGGTCACAAACTAGTGGTGCGGGCCAGCTGCTTCCTTGTATACCAGAAAAAGCACCAAAACTAACACAGAGGCAACGAGAGACTGAAACAGAAAAAGGCGCCCCGTCCGCCCCGTCCTGTTTGTGCCTTGTCCCGTCTTGGTTTCTCTCAGCCCTTATTTGTTTTGGTCCTCTTTCTAGTACCTACATGCAAATGGTCATCTGTAACACTTTTACCACCTGGTGAAAGAAGAAAAGAATGTCTTGTGGTTTTTCTGACGAATATATCCTTGTAATCTTTATTAAAAAGCTACCCAAAGTGAATTCATTTTCAGAATACTCAAGTTTTAGTCGTTCCGGCATTCCATTTATTACCTCTAAATAAATTTAAAAGAGCCATTGAGAAAAGGGCACATAAAGGCTACACCAGAACCGACATTCAAATTTTCCTGCACATGCTGCATAACTTGCACAAGTTGAGCAGGCATTTTAAAAACGCAATATTTTATGCGCTTTTTTTGTCGGTTTGTTGGCATGAGCTTAACCAATATTTGTTTCACATCATCATGCTTCTTGTAACCTGTCAGAAACAAGCTGTACTGCACCCATATTACAACACTCGATGTCAGCTTTTCAATGTTGCCATTGAAGCCTATCGGCCTCTAGGACCACATCTAAAGCTTTAATTAAACTTTACACAAAAAAAAAAAAAAAAAAAGAAAGCTTATTGCGACTTGTTCTTTTGGGCTACTGGTTCAGATGTGTATGCTAATATGTTGAACCAATTTTGAGACAAATGAATGACAACAAAAATTTCGCTTTAAAGGATTTTACCGAAGTGCAGTACATGCCATTTCGCATTTTGACAGCCAAGTGCTTAAATTAAAAGCACCGTGCCACTAGTCAGTATTCAGAATCTACTGAGAATCGCCATAATAAAATTTGAACCCTTCTTTCGTAGGTAAATTTGAGTATGGCAAACATCTAAGTTTTTTGGTTTTAAATGTGTGTACCTCAGCAAGGTACAATGGCAACAATCAACGTATGGTATACAGAAGCATGTTATAATAACAAAGTAAACAAAAAAAGACGGCTGCGGTATGGGGACAGACAGAGCCATACCTGGTAGCAAGTGCAAGGATGTTTTCGTCCGGGCAGAGAGCAACCTGTGCAACTGAGCCGCCCTCCTTGAAAGGAAGAGAGACATTCAAAACAATCAAACGTGGAATGCTAACCTAAATTAGCTCAAAGCAATGGCTACATTGGCAATGCGCTCTAAATCGAGGCAACCTAGTGCAATAAGAAAATGCAGAGCTTAATATGTAAGAGATAAAGAAGAATACTTCGAGGATTTTGCAGGTACGATAATGTGCCTCTGGAAAAATTGTGAGAAACACAATACTGTTCTGTACAGTAGACAGAACTGCCAAAGTCCACAACGCGGTTCAAAATCTATGGTAATTTAAAGTGTCGTTTCTTTCAAAGGCTTCTTTAGTTTTTGTCAGGTTTGTGGGCACTCAATGATGGATGAAAAAAAACCTTCTTAGGGTGTGGTGAATGGTGTGGCGAATGGGCAAACTGCATCCCCCCAAGAAAAACATACCAACCTTGTTAGCAACTGTTCCGACGTAGGAAGAAGTGTCTCGTTGAAACATGAAGACATCCCCACTGGTGGCTCCCAGAGCAAGGTAGTGCTTTGAAACGTCAAAGCAGACATACTAAAGAGAAAAAAGGAATAAACAAAAGGAAGACATTACTCCCAATGCTGCAAAACAGAAAAACAACCAAAGAGGTAAGCTTTAATCAAACCAACGTTCAACCAAAAGTGCCACAAAATGATTCTTTATCCTTGACACAAATAATACTCAGAATTAATACTCAATGCATAGCAGCCACAGAAATCATACTTATTTTTCATACCCCACTCCAGTTTTTGTGTTATTGCTGGAAAAAAGATTGGGACATGTATCCTCCCTCAACTTTGTCAGGCATTGGAGGATAAAATGTCTTCAGGAAACCACACTCTATCAGAGGCCATCCATACTTTGCTTCACGTCCACCTATGCGATGCTTATGTGATAAGGGCAAATAAAACAGAAAATAAAATAAAAATAAAAGAGGTTCAGAGGATAACATGCAGCTGTCTCTTGTATTAAAAGACACAAATCTCTTAAAACTGTGTTATGGTCTATAAGTGACTAGCTCCACGTAAGAGTAACACATAATATGGTGCCCGGAAAGCGTCTCCGACTGCTGGGTTTACAGTGCCCCAAAAAGTGGTTCTTCGATTTCCGATCAACGACGTCGCAAGAGCGTCGCGTTATTGCTGGCCATGATCCTGGTAACGCCACAGCGGTAATGGCGGACGCCTTTCCTGCGACAGGTTGCCCTCCAGCTTGACAGTTCACTGAAGCTTCAACAGCGACACTCACGTTCACTCATCCCTTTTGCCGGGACTTGTAGCACCAATCGCTGGGGTCGCGATATCCGACAAGATGGTACGTTGGCTTCTGCAAGGTCCTCTGTTGCCACTTCGGAACCACTTTTGATGTATGGGCGGGATAGGAGGCTAGGCAGATCAGTCGAAGACGCATCCCAAGCACCGTGTGCACATGCGGAGTGCAAGTCGTCTGCTTCTTGTGCAGGAGTTCCAGTGGCATCAAAACGACGCCGAGCTCCGATTGGCTTTGATCGAAAGGATAGTGGGTAGACCTCAATGCTAGATGCCTTGAGGCCTACCCACTATTTCTTTCAATCAGCCAAGATTCGCCATCTTGTTGGCGAATCTTGTGTCGCGAAACTAGGTTTCGGGAAACAAAGTCCCCGTCTGAACGCGACAAAAAAATTGGCGCGCCTTCGAAAAATGTTGTGCGTGTTCCTCGCTTCTGGAGCAATTTTTTGCTGAAACCTTACCGAGGACTGTCAATCACTTGAAGGAGAAACGCGACGCTACCAATGGCCGCTTGACTTCGCTATGACATCTGACCTTCGAGGCGGAGCAAGCTTTTGGAGGAGCCTGATTTTTGGTCGATTCCGTATCCGAGCCAAAGCCGAAAAAAGAAAAGCAAACATGGCGAGCAACAAGCGGAGAAGCGGTGCGTACAGGCGTAGTCTTGGTCCTACTGGGTTGCAAGTGCGTGAAAGGTGTTTTAGCAGTACAGGGTGATGCCGCGGTACAAATTCCTCAACAGTCGCGACGAGTGCAAGCACCGCATCTAAACATGATGTCTGGGGAACTTCCTTTTAGCGGTGCAAAACTGTCCGAAATGCTTCGAGATCATCCGCCTGTTCTTTGACGTTCGCGGTCTTTCCCGGGTTTGGCAGGACTAGTAAACCCAGTGAGCCGAATCTGACGAAGTTAATTGAGTGGTATTAATAAAACAGACTGTCTCTTCACACTGTGCGTACTTTATATCATTTTGATGCGAGACGCTTCATATTCCCGGTGCGGATGGCAAGGTTTGGCAAAACTCTCGTGAGTAAATATGTCACAGGTTTCGCGTGTCAAACTCCACGTGTGAACAGGCCGATTTTGCAAAATCTCGGCTTCGCTAAACTGTGGCGCATTGAAAAGATGCATCGTGTGAATAAGAGCTCGGTGTTCTGACATCATTGCAACCTCTGTGCTAGAAGCAGACAAACATGCGCTCCGCAGTGACCCCAGGAAACCCTCGACCTACCTTCACTCTTGTTGTGTTCCGGATGGGCACGAGAATTCCGTCCAACGACTGCAACTCCGCGAGAACGAATTGCGGATGTAGAGCAGAGCCGGCTTCGGCTTCGGCCATGGGCGGTTGAAATCGCCTCGCAAGCCGAGCCCCGTTCTAGCAGACGGGCGTCCCAACATGGCTGCTCGTTCCTGGCGGCACTCTAGGGAGCATGACTGCTCGGCACTTTCCCTAGGAACGAAGAGAAATTTATCGTAGGGGCAAGCTTAACGTTTTACGTAAACAGGGTGCCTTATTAGAAAGAGTGTGGGCTTTCGAATGCTTTAAAGAGTAATCGCAGGGCAGCGCAGATGTCGCGCTTATGAATGTATTAATTGCAGACAACCAGGGATGGGCAGTATTTCAAATACAAGTATTTGAAATACGTATTTAAAATACTTTGTGTGTTTTGCATTTGTATTTAATTACAAATTGGGTAATGTATTTGACGTGTGTATTTAAATACTAAAACGTGAGTATTTCAAATACAATTGTAATTAAATACAATTTTATAGGCGAAAATACATTCCTCAAATTTATTGTCACTGTCCAGAGAGGAAGAGAATTACGTTCTGCACCGAATGCAGTGTCTCTCAATCAAGCACAAGCGTTTAGTGACTTTGTGATTGCGGTGCTAGTCCAGGGCAAGAATACTGACGAAATCGATGTTCACAGGCAGACTGGCTAAATAAGTGCCTGTGACAACTTGTGATGCTTTCCAGCCTGATTTCCATCCATATTTTTGCCTGGAACATTCTAAATGCGCGGGTCGTCCAGATTTTTGTAACTGGTGCGAGTTGTAACATAAAAAATTCTCTAGCTAGTGCTGCGCGTCTTGGTCGTCTCGGTTCTTTGTTGGTCTATACCAGGGGCGGCCAGGCTGACCCGGTCTAAGAGCAGCGAACAAAACCACGAAACTTCCAAGAGCCGCTGGGTAGGGAGAGGGGGGGGGGGGGGGGGGTCAAACTTTTGTCCAGAGCAATAACCGAAACTCGATCTACTTTCAATCTATCCGAGTCAAAAGCAAGCCAACTGTATATGTAAGGTAGCCGTAGCACAAGACAACCAAACCGCAAACTGTCTGTCGATATAAAACGCGTTCCATTTCTCTTTTTGGGAAAGTGCTCGCGTGATTGGGAGGGAGGGGGGGCGGGGGGGGTATTGGGGAAAGAAACCACGAGCCGCACTTTAACAAGCGAAGAGCCGCATGCGGCTCGCGAGCCGCAGCTTGGCCACCCCTGGTCTATACCAAAATGTAATCGACAAAAAAAGCTGCTTGAAGCTCTGCACTTTTTGTCCCCTATTACGTCCAAGCTGGTAACATTTTTTTTGTGATTATATTTCTGTTACGTTACTGGAGCCTTGCACACAAACTCCCGAGTGTGCGATGCAAAATTAAAATGAGATACCCAGAAACCCGTTCCAGGTGCCCTGAAGTCGCTGACGCAAATTTTGAGGAATGTATTTGGAAAAGTATTTGGAGGAGACCAAATACATTTGGTTGTATTTGTATCTTGTACTTAAATGCTTTTTTTGGAAATGTAATTATATTTGTAATTAAATACATTTTTGACGAAGTATTTTGCATTTGTATTTCAATACATATTTGCATGTATTTTGCCCATCTCTGCAACAACATACTAATTTAAAATCCCGACTTGAAAAATGCACAAAAATATTTTTGTTGGCACACTGCTGAATGAAATTGAAACTCAAGCCCACTTTATAGATGGCCTATAGTGGATACCTTTGTCTTTGTAACCTCTTCTGCTTTTTGCACCAAAATTCCTTTTATAGTACCAGTTGCCTTAGCCTCCTGACGATTCCTAATGCCATCCATTTGCTGCGGTTGATTCTTTTACTGTAAATAATCCACATGGCATCACTAATCATGGAACTCAATATTGAAGATGCCAAAGCACCGTAAATTGTTTGTTATGGCATTATTGGATTTGGCTTTGATTTCTGAAAGCTGGAACCTTGGGGTGACCTCACAGACCAGGGAGCACAACTATGGCAGCAGACACATGATCCCAAAAATTTGTGAAATTGGGACACAGTAAATAGGAAGAGCACCTGTCCCGCGACTCAAGGGACTGCCCCAAATTCTGAGATTGTGTCCCGCATCCGGAAAGAAATACCAAAATGTTCCCCGCATTTCACACTGCTGTAAAATTCACTACGCAACTCAGTGCTCTGCAGAAGAGCGGGGTGCGGGGGAAGTGCTGAGATCGCTGTTAACGGTGTGCACAGGCGTAGACTACCGGGGAAAGGGGGGGGGGGGGGGGGGGATAAGGGGCTTGATTCCCCTCTCTGAAATTTCACAGGAAAAGCAGACCCTTCCCCCCAGGGGCTCCTCGGGAAACAAATACCCTTGCTTTGGAAACCTAGGGGTGCACTGGGGGGAGTGGGCAAGACGGGTTAGTCCGGCCCCAGCCCTCCGTCTGGGAAATTGAAAACTTTCCACCAATGATTGCGTGAATCGCAATGGTACAACATTTTTTATTCAAGCATTGCGGGAAGTGATCGCCATTCTTGCAGGAGAACCGACGTGCAAGTACCATCATCGTGCCTTTTCCCTTGATGGAAAAATATTGCAAACAAAAATTGCTTGCCAAAATTTAAAAAAATATATTATTGTAATTATTTGAAATCTGTGCTGTGCCAATACAAAAGGGTTGCTGTGTAAAGCTTTCTTTAGTGAAGACGGCCACACAAGGTACAAAGCCTCCATTTCACAACGATCGGAAAAAAACAAACAAGATAAGGTTCCAAATTTGTACAGCAGCATGTTCGTAAAAGTGAGCATCGAGAGAGAACAATAAGCTCAAAAAGATTTACTGTTCCTTCTTAACTACTGATGCATTAAAGTCTGCTGCAGTAAATTTTTATGATTTCAAATGAGACACTTTCAATAAAATGTTTGGCATTCAAAAAAAGAAAAAAATACATCATTAGGAGTGAAAATTGTTCGAGCTTAATTATTGGAACAGAATATACAAGTGTTATAATAAGCTTTCGGAAAGCACACAATACTAAATGTGTTACCAGAGCCACATTTTGTCGTGTGCCTGTTGATAAATTTCCTCTAACATAATTTTGTTATTCTGATGCCACAGCCATCATAATACCATCATACATGTACATATAATAACGCCATACATATCATAACATCCAATAGAGGTAGCCAATTGGGTAATTAACATGGCCACTCAACTGTAAAGGTGTCAAACAGAGGTTCCTTGCAATTCTAGCAGTAATAACGTCAGATAAAGGTAGTTAATTGGTTATTTAATATGTCTATATATCCTAGAGCTGAAGAATAGAGGTCCCCAGTCCCAGTAGACGTAACACCAAAACTAGACGTCCTTATTCGTTGCCGTATGTTATTGAGTGTCCTTAGGTTCACGTAGCTTAGTGGGTGTCAGAATCACAAGTCTACAACGAAGTAGGATTTGTCCCATCGACTCGGGTTTTGCCTTCACGGTCATTCCTTTGTCAAGACGAGAGGTCAAGACTGCATACCTGAAGCAAAATATATTGGGTTAACGTTCAACTTCGAATGAGACAAAATAGCATGAAAATCTGCATCACAACCCAACAGATCTGATAACGCAACGATATCAGTGCCGTAATATAAAATTTAGACCATTTTCACGAGCTCCTAGAGGAAAATTGACAGGTACTAGGTTTCTGGCAATTTTAGTCGGTTTTATCTTAATTACGTTCATAAAAAACTAGACCCGGTAAGGAGTGTTAGCCAAGGATATACTTCCAAAGTATTAAGTTTGAAACAGCGTTGTTTATCAAGAAACATTTCGTCGGCGTTTTGCGATGAGGCCGAAATGTCAAACCTCTCTGCATCCACCGCGCGTACGAAGCGATCTTTTTTTCGACTCCAAGTTCAAAAACGATGGTGCACTAACGTGAATTTTTCGACTAAACGACAAATCAAGATCGACAGGAGCTAGAAATGACGATTAATTTGAAGAAGATTACAGTATTTAAGCCTACCAACTGGTCCAAACTGTTTGACGGTGAGTACCGCTACGTGCACTCGGCCAGCTGTTAAGTACTCACCGTTTGGACTAGATCCTCCCATAGACCGCGATGGAAGCACTTGTGATCCAGAGTGCTGTAGCCAAGGGAGCTAGCGCAGGCTTTTCTTTTTCACGATATAATTTAAGCACATGCGTCGCATACAAGTCAAAGATTACGGAGCGACAGACTAGACGAGCAGAAGGATGCCATTTAAAGCGCACATTCGTTTATGCCACTTCGGGTACAACATAATACGCATGATAACTCTTATCGGACAAAAATGATGCACATTTACTAAGCTTCCTAGGCTTGAACCGGCTTGAACCCTTAAGAGTTAAAAAGAGTTACTTTTGGGAATCACATGGTAGCACATCTATTGTTCTAAAAATTGACTTATCGAACATTTTGGGGAGCTAGTGGCGTCCTCTCTGGAGATTTTGAAAAACTGGCACGAGGAAACTTTTCGCACCTAGCTACAGGAGGCGCGGTGAGTGTTTTTCTTGCATGGTTTCGTGTTTTGACGAAGTTGAGCTCAGTAAAATTGGTTAACTCAATAAAACAAGCTTAAGCACTGTTCATCTTAAAGTAAAAAAAAAAAAAAAGAATTTGGCTAGATGGCAAAAGTCATCTCGCGATTCAAAAGGGAGCAACGCTTGTTCGCCAGGGGGGTAAAGGGTAAAGGTGGGTGAGGAGGAATGGCATATCCCGTGCGCCGACACCCGGGGTCCCAAGTGAACGATCGCAAAAGAGAGCGACAGAACACGAGAGAAGGAAAGCAACGTTGCCATGGTAAACGCGAAGAGTGAAAACTCTAAGCAATATAAATAGTGATAATTTAACGTTGTAAACTAAATTTTGTGCTATTCTAACGCTTATAAAAAGCAATAAAGTCATTACGCTGCATTAACTTTCCTTCTGTCGAAATCTCGGAAATCTGGTGGTTGCGCAGTTTCGTATTTCTCAACCGTGCCCAGCCGCGCCCACCGGCGAAGCCGGGTATATGGTTTAGTTTAGCGTTAACGCGAGGCCGTACATCTGCGCGCTATGCAAAAAGAAAGCTTCGAAGGGAACGCGAATAGCTTTCCACCGGTATGTTCGTGGATTGTTGAAGTTCACGAAACTGCTCTGATGATGTAACCGTGTTTGGGCCCCCGAGGGTCTGCCTGCATGATCCGCCGCTTGCGGCAGCCAGAATGTATGGAAAAATGGCGGACCTTTTCCTCTAGAGTTAGTATGTATGATCTCTATGTTGTTCGCTGCAGCGCTATAGCGCTAGTGAAGCCACCGGATGGAAACCTTGCTGGGATACGATTTGCAGTTTCGCTAGCCTTTTGCTGCGGTTTTCCAGCCTGCTGTAGACACGTTTTCTACTCGTTCGTCGTCATTTGCTAAATAAGTTTTTTAGGACTCAGTGCACCGTTGAGACTTGCCGTTATGAACACGCAGAAAATTTTACAAAAGCGCAGTACCGCAGGAAAAAGGCACAACTCGTCGAAAGCAAGCTTCGCCGGTCTGGCGGCGTGTTCCAAGCTTTTTTGGCACGCCGAAGTGCCGTGTCTCTGTGCCTTCGCACGCTTGGATACCGACCAAGAATCGACGGGGAATCGAAGAATCGACGCAGGTAGGCAACTGTAACGCAGGAATGTCCCATATCCACCCGAATCCGGACCTCCTTGGCCTTCGAGCCGAGGCGACGGCGCTACGCGAGGGCGTTGGCGAGCCAGGCCCAGCAGAACCGTTTTGAGGCCCAGGTGGCGTGCGACGTCAAATCTCACGAGCACCGACGTCAGAGAAAAGTGGAGGAGGCGAGGAGAGGAGTCGTGATCGTGAAAATTTTCACTCCTGCAAAAATTTTTACGACTGCGACAAATCGTAAAAATAGAAGCGTCCGCTTCAATTTTCACAATTTGTCGGAGTCGTGCGTTCTGTAGTGTCCTGTTTGGACACTCTTCCAGTCCGGCCGTGCTAAAACGTTTCTGATCATTCATTTTCGAAAACCGCGCGGCCGTGGTGCGGTCTCCAAAACGAAACTAGAATTACCACCTGAATTATTTAAGACAACGGCAATACAATTTGAATATAACTAATTTAATGGGCATATAACGTTGTTTAGTTAGATTTATTATCCTTAAGAAACTAAAAAAAAAGTTTGTTCTTCGCATTGTGAAAAACAATACATTTGGCGAATTTTGTATTTTGTCTGACAACCTCTCTCCGTGTTTTCTTTACGGCGTTTTGTTTGTCCGTTTTGTTGGCGCGCACGTGTTTCATCTTTATTTGCGTCGAGAAAATGGGTATAAATTTTAAAACATACAGTATGATGACAGTTCCTCTGTACGAAGAACTGTCATCGTGACATTCAGTGCATGCATCTCTTTGGTAGGTAAGCGAGTCGGCGAATTCTTGAAACAAGACGATCTCCGTGCATGCTCTCAACGGTGCACATTGTTTTGATTCAAGTCGACGTGACAGCCTGCTTTCTCAAGTAAGTGGCAGCGTTTCCTTGCTTTTCTGTTTTAAAGTACGAAGGGTCTAGCGTTACGCCCGGTGGAACCCGAAATAAAAATTAAGGTCACGTCCGACGTAACTTTACCCCAAGGTTTCTTATAAACGACCCCAAACAACGCACTGATAATAATAATAATAATAATAATAATTTTATTTGCACATACCGGAATGGGCACATGTGGTGGTGTGCGGGGCTAGGCAGATAGGTGAAAAACCCTTACGGAGAGCGCCTGCCAGCCCGCCACCACATGTGAAAAAACATAACAGACATATATATGTACAGAATATACACAATACAGAAAGTACATGCAAAGGAAAGAAAAGAAGGTGGGAAACAAGTAAGGCATTATGACGAGGATGCTAGCTGCATCCCTTACATCCTGGCCAGCTCTCGCGACTCTGCCCCGTTTGACGGCAGGGGGCTGCGCACACAAAGGGGAAGTTTCAAAAAGTCTCTTATAGCAGCAGGGAGCAGTGAGGAACTGTGGCGCAATGTCCTCCCCCTCAGCTCGTCAGGTTGTCCACTTCTCTTGCCAATTCGAGCTACTGTCGAGAGGTAGGTGCCTGACAGGGAACCGTCCAACACCCGGCAGGCAGAACGCACACGAAACACCTGGCGCCTACGTTGGAGCGGGCGCCACCCAAGCGCCTTCAGCCGGTCACAGTAGCTGGTGTCCTGTCCAGAGACATATCCAAGTGCCCTGCAGCATATTGTTCTAGGCCCGCTTCAGACAGGATGGAGTGCCCTGCATCGCTGGAAAAAAAAGAAGAAAAACAGCCTCGTATAACATCATTTGCGCACAATCTAGAGATCTACAGACAATAACAAGCCTTTTGAATGCCGGAAAGAATAATCTAGCCCTTCTGAACAAAGAGCCAAACTTGGGAATGACCGTGCCATGATCTTGGCTGTTAGCTGATTTGACATAGTTCCACGTCTTGCAGTCGCTTCCATCTTTTTGGTACATATTTGAAACTAAGGCAAACTTCACGCATTACGACTAATTGGGAAATCGACCCCAGGACACAGATATCCAAACATTCTAGTTTACTAGTAAACAGTACGGTGGAGGAAGGCAATCAAACATCCCTCCCACTTCCGCTCCCGCCTTTGCCTCCCCATGTCCCAAAGAGTTCCGCTGCTACTGATGGACCTTGAGCGAGTACGCAGCCTAAGTGCTCATTTGTGAAGGACAATCAGCGCGAGGATGGAGTGCTCTGCATCGGGGGAAAAAAAAGAAGAAAAACAACCTCGCATAACATCATTTGCGCACAATCTACAGATCTGCAGACAATAACAAGCCTTTTGAATGCCGGAAAGAATAATCTAGCCCTTCTGAACAAAGAACCAAACTTGGGAATGACCGTTCCATGATCTTGGCTGTTAGCTGATTTGACATAGTTCCACGTCTTGCAGTCGCTTCCATCTTTTTGGTACATATTTGAAACTAAGGCAAACTTCACGCATTACGACTAATTGGGAAATTGACCCCAGGACACAGATATCCAAACATTCTAGTTTACTAGTAAACAGTACGGTGGAGGAAGGCAATCAAACATCCCTCCCACTTCCGCTCCCGCCTTTGCCCTCCCATGTCCCAAAGAGTTCCGCTGCTACTGATGGACCTTGAGCGAGTACGCAGCCTAAGTGCTCTTTTGTGAAGGACAATCAGCGCGAGGATGGAGTGCTCTGCATCGGGGGAAAAAAAAGAAGAAAAACAGCCTCGCATAACATCATTTGCGCACAATCTACAGATCTACAGACAATAATAAGCCTTTTGAATGCCAGAAAGAATAATCTAGCCCTTCTGAACAAAGAACCAAACTTGGGAATGACCGTGCCATGATCTTGGCTGTTAGCTGATTTGACATAGTTCCACGTCTTGCAGTCGCTTCCATCTTTTTGGTACATATTTTAAACTAAGGCAAACTTCACGCATTACGGCTAATTGGGAAATCGACCCCAAGACACAGATATCCAAACATTCTAGTTTACTAGTAAACAGTACGGTGGAGGGAGGCAATCAAACAGCCCTCTCACTTCCGCTCCCGCCTTTGCCTCCCCATGTCCCAAAGAGTTCCGCTGCTACTGATGGACCTTGAGCGAGTACGCAGCCTAATTCCTAATTGTTGAAGGACAATCAGCGCGAGGATGGAGTGCTCTGCATCGGGGGAAAAAAAAGAAGAAAAACAGCCTCGCATAACATCATTTGCGCACAATCTACAGATCTACAGACAATAACAAGCCTTTTGAATGCCGGAAAGAATAATCTAGCCCTTCTGAACAAAGAACCAAACTTGGGAATGACCGTGCCATGATCTTGGCTGTTAGCTGATTTGACATAGTTCCACGTCTTGCACTCGCTTCCGTCTTTTTGGTACAGATTTGAAACTAAGGCAAACTTCACGCATTACGACTAATTGGGAAATTGACCCCAGGACACAGATATCCAAACATTCTAGTTTACTAGTAAACAGTACGGTGGAGGAAGGCAATCAAACATCCCTCCCACTTCCGCTCCCGCCTTTGCCCTCCCATGTTCCAAAGAATTCCGCTGCTACTGATGGACCTTGAGCGAGTACGCAGCCTAAGTGCTCTTTTGTGAAGGACAATCAGCGCGAGGATGGAGTGCTCTGCATCGGGGGAAAAAAAAAGAAGAAAAACAGCCTCGCATAACATCATTTGCGCACAAT